GTATCTATCTATCTAATACCAACATATCTCAGAGTTTGTTTCGGACTATGTCAGATCAGCGGTGTGCTTGGCTTTTAACGCGCTCAAATATTTATTATCTATCCGTACAACAATAACTAGAATATTGGCATCTTGGCCGAGATAGTACTCGCGGATTTGCGGACTTGCCAATATGGAGTTCCGTAAGTCTCTGGGCGAGCTGAGGTGCAAATGTTAAGACCTACATGTCCGTCACCCCGCATTCAACGTCCAAGTCTGGTCATGCTGGGGTTATGCTATCGTGGGGTGATTTATCTGCCAGGGATACGGTACTTTACATACCTAGGTACACTACATAGGGCTGGTAGAGGGATTTGAGCGATTTGTTGAGCACGAGGTACCTAGGTAGGACAAAATCCGTGATGATCACATGTGATATAGAATCGTAAGATGACGCTGCTTGGTTTTTTTTTAGTACAGTTTATCGCAAAGTTCTGATACATACAAGTTCCAAGCCTAATTGTTTGACACTTCAAAGATCTAGCCCATCCAGGAACTTCCATGCTTTAATTTTCGAGTTTACCAAATCGAGGTCTTGTAACAGCCGGTCCCATCAAAAATATGGGGTTAACCGTTACCATGCCGTGCAGGTCTAACTAAAGATGACTTAATGCTGCTTTATCAGCTTATCAATACCAAGGTACTTGTGCCAAATGTACGGATCCATGCAGGTGCCCGGCATTGTCGCATACGGAATAACGTGCTTCCTCAATCCCGGGTCGGACTCGCATTGGCAACGTAAGCTGTAACTTTGGAACTTTTTGAAAGGTGTACCTCTACCTCTACCTCTTGGCTGCTCTGGAGAAGCCACATGTAGCTATCCCAAGTCAACATCTACAACCGCCGTTGATCATCTACATTGGCGCTGCTCATTTTTCATGAGTAGCCCATCCGGTCTTTCTTCGCCATGAAGTTCACTGCAGTTGCAGTTACCTGCTTCTCCTTACTTTCGCAGGTCCTAGGCGAATCCAACATTGCTGGGCCTTCATCGTCCAAGGTCACTCTCCCAGCTACCTTCAAGCCGCCACAGGTGTTCAAGAATGCCAACTTGGTACATGTCATCTCCCTAGAAAAGAGCTATGCAAAGGAGTCTATAAATGTCTTAATCGAGAACTCGTCACCGGAGTCTCAAGATGAATACTTCCTACCGTTCACTAGCGACCAGATGGAGAGGATCGGAGGTATCGAGGTGAAGGATCGAAAGGATACAAGCGTAACAGGCTTTGCCGTGGAAGCCGTTGAATTCGATCCATTAAGGTAAAGGAAGCTCTATTACCTTACAGTCTGATACCCTCGTTACTAATATAGCACCAGCGATACTCAATACTATCGCATTCGATTACCTGCACCCTTGCCGGCCAAGGGTCAGCAGACCCTGGGCATCTCTTTCTACTACCTCAATGCGTATGCGCCGTTGCCAGCTTCGATTGAGCAATCTGAAAAGCAATACCTCGTCTACCAGTTCTCGGCGTATTGCCCATCGGCCTACCCAACATTGAAGCAAAAGACGGAAGTCAAGCTCCCATCTTCCGATATTCCTGACTACACCAAGATTGCCGGCAGTGGCGAGACTAAAGAATTCCCGCAGAAGCAGGGTTCGAAGCTTATCTACGGCCCCTTCCCCGAAGTCCCGGCCGGCGCAGTGTCACCGGTCAAGGTGCGGTATGAATTCACCAAGCCCGTTACGCACGTGTCGCATTTGGAGCGGGATATCGAAGTCAGTCACTGGGGTGGAAACATCGCGTTTGAAGAGCGATACACACTCTACAACAATGGCGCAAACCTTTCGGCTCAGTTCAATAGGGTGAAATGGGCGCAGGCTCAATATTTTAATCCTCAAAGCTACGCCTTGAAGGAGTTAAAATTCCCTCTTCGAGCTGGGAGCAAGGATGCTTACTTCACGGATGCTATTGGCAACGTGTCAACGTCGCATTTCCGTTCCAATAGGCGCGAGGCTGTACTCGAACTCAAGCCTCGATACCCTGTCTTTGGCGGCTGGAAGTATCCATTTACAATCGGCTGGAACTCCGACGCTAAACAGTTCCTGAGGAAGTCAGGCGATAGCTATTTGCTGAACGTACCTTTTATTGAGGGACCCAAGCAGTCTGAGGGCGCCGCATTCGAGCAGATACAGGTTCGCGTGCTCTTACCAGAGGGTGCCGAGTGAGTACTTCTACAGAGTTACTAATTTTGAATGTCTACTAACCGTCTCGTAGGAACGTTCGATTCCACACAACAATTCCCGAATCCTCTATCACAGGTTATTCGGTCGATCTACAAAAGACATACCTAGATACTGTTGGTCGCACAGTGCTAACAATTAAAGCGAGAAACTTGGTGGACGACTTGCGAGACCGCGATCTTATCGTCTCGTACGATTATTCGCTGGTGGCTAGCCTTCGCAAACCGCTTGTCGTGTTTGCTAGCATGTTAACAGTATTTGTAGGGATGTGGGCAGTCTCAAAAGTGGACGTGAGGTTTTCTACGAAATAATGAGGGCGTTTGGTTCTTTTAGGACGAATTCAGTACATATGCGCATGTACATTACAAGTTTTTCAAGGTTTAATGGAGGCCTGAAAAAACTCTAGAGCAGCCCGCGGCTTAGATCTGGCATGAATGAATACAGAAAGTGAATTAAATTCTTCGTATTATGACCTTCACTCCTCTCATAGCGACAATTTAGAGAGTAGATATCTAGCCGCTTCCTTGACGTCGGTAGATATCTAATACTTGATTTTTTTTTTCTCTTCTAAATAACACTAAAGTATGATGCTACTGCAACTATAATAAGTTAGTACTATATATGTCGTCAATTGGGTTTCTTCGTTGTCCAAGTGTCCAAGGGTCCTGCGCCAGGGCGTTAATACGACGAAGCTAAACTAGTCTACTAGCACTTGGCTGCAATTAGACCTGCAAGCTGACGTCGGCGCAGCATCATAGGTCATATGGACCTCTATAAGTCGACTTCGGAACGGAATGCGAGAATGCAAACCCGATACACAGCGTTGTACAGCATCATGTTATATTCATGTCCGTATACCCGATTTCAAGGGGGAAAAGCATTGCTACTAAAGAGGTAACGGCTAACTAAGCATTCATGTATAAGGACGGGTGCTCGAGGTGACGAAGATGAGTTGTTGTTGTTGTAAGTGGGTAAGTGTTATAGTAGATATTTCCAAAGAAGACGAGATATCCTCGTGTTATAGGTTGACACGGGTAGCCTGAGTTATAGAACCAGAGAGACGGGGTCCTTGGCAGTTCCTTGATCTCGAAGGACCGGCAAGGCCGGTTGTCTAGATCTTTGATGAGCTGCGTATGTGGCGTAAAAAATCGAGGTTCAGACGGTTTCTCGTACTACAAGTTGTTGCTTTGCCTATATGTGCATATGTATATGTATACCTACCTACCTATGTAGGTAGGTATCGTCGATATTAAATAGCTGCAGGGATTACGACATGGAAAAAAAAATGAGATGCATATTGATGATCTCTGAGGATCTTGAAAACATCCTAGCACTAATGACAACACCAATGACCTAGGACCGTATTCTTCGGTGTATGTAGGTAAAAGAAGGGTTACACTGAAGTTTCCCTCCTCGTGACCTTTTCGGGTCAGCGAGGCTGAGCTCTGGTCGTATGAGACAGGTAGATAAATACTTGAACTATCTCATTCCCTCTCTTTTAATTTCGAGCATCAGTTCTCATCCATCTATACATCCATCCATCCATCCATCTCATCAACATCTGTGGTTAGAAAAAAGAAATTGGGCAAATTAAAAAGAAAAAAAGACTACTCTTTTCGCTCAACTTTCAAATCTTATCGAACCCAAGAGAATTTATTATCTCGAACCTTCTACCAAGTACAATACTTAGGTAGTATAAGTCAAGGATCCCAGATTCGGTTGAACCCGCCATACAACAACCTTTTCAAATCTACATTTCCTATGAGCTCTTCAGCAACCAGAATCACGATGTGTTTCGGCGGCGGCGAGCCCTCGCGCAAGTACTACTATCACGAGGAGTACATCCCCACGAGAAAGGCCCACCACCATCATCACCATTCGTCTACACCACGAGCTAGCTACCATTCGCATCACACACACCACAGCCCCCGCGTGAGCACAGTCAGCTACCGGCACAGCACTCCCGTACTGTATGAGAGGACCAGCCAGACGAGATACCGCTGATGAATAAAGATTTATCCATATGTTTTGATAAATCATAATATCTGCAATCTCTTTCAATATGGCCGACACGAGAAACGCCGCATTTTTAATAAAAACACCTATACCGATAGGAAGATTGGGCTGGTTGGGGATAAACGTTTAATATATGATTTTTTTTAATGCTTGGTTTGCCTATAATATAATATATCTTTTTAGAAATAATGGAGTTTTCACGACGTATGAATTTGGACTAGAGATTGGAGGTACATAGAATCATAGACTGCGGGAAGAGGGAAGAGAGAGAACTCCAACTTTGAGCTTTGGAGCTTGTGCCAAGATTGGGTTGGGGTCAAAGAAATGACATCATGATGGTTCTTTAGCTCACTTTCGTCGTCATCTACTATATTGAAGCTCAATACTTTAGGTACTTACTATTCTCTATGGGCGCATCCATGCTTACTTGTGCAAATGTGAAATGTGATGTGCTGCTTAGGTAGAGTTGAAGAGGGGGTCGATGTAAGACATGAATCTTGCTGCTTTCAACAAATGTTAAGAATTTGATTAATATCTCCATGCCTACGAATTAGATACGATACATAGTTCAAACGAATATATATAACTATCATCTAGCTCTTTGTTCGCCCACTAAACTAATAAACCCCTGCTTGGGTATATCTGATTTGCAAAATATACATCGCGCCCCACTGGAGATATTCTAGGTACTCGGAGATACATGTGAATATTGGGTCTACATGTAGGATTCCTAGCTAAGACTACGAGCTATTCTTGTAAGTCTACTCGTTATGGGGCTCCTGCCTTCTACCGTTGCACCACGAACCTACGGAGATCTAAATAGGAAATTACCTACTTGGGAAATATGAAGAATGTTCAAGAATTGGAAGCAGCGACTAATTTGTCCATAGCTGTGGTAATCGTTAAGAGGAACGCGATCAATACGCTTAGTTCCATCTTCAATATATCATGTAGGTCACGATGGATTTCCAATTCTTTAGCAGCAACTCGAAGGGCGTCTCCGAGCTTGAGCGGATGTCTCAGCTCAGTTGCAAAGGCAGTAGTCGCTCTTTGGGTTCGACAAATCTGTAAAACATCTACGACCCTATTCACTTCTTAGGAGGTAGCTAGTAAAATCTAGCATTTGCTAATACTTGGAACTCTCACTCTAGGAATCGCTCGCTCTCTATCCGTTCTAACAAAGGAGGCCCGGTAGGCTCACCAACGCCCGCCCGCCGCAAGGGCTTCTCCTTCGCGTCGCTGCGCGGGTCGATCCAGCCAGAGCTGTCGCGGCGCTTGTACCAGCTGATTAAGTCGACCAACAACCTAGTGTCGGCGCATGAAGCCGCGGGCCGAGAGCGCGAGACGATCGCAAAGCAGTTATCTGAGTGGGGCGAACAGACGGGGGACGATGCCGTGTCAGATATCAGCGACAAAGTTGGTGTCGTGTTATCCGAGCTCGGCGCTCAGGAGGAGACATATGCCCACGGCCTCGACGAGGCCCGTGGCATCCTCAAATACATCCGTAACACGGAGAAGAGTGTCCAACCCAGCCGCGATTCTAAGGCCAAGATCGCCGACGAGATCCAGAGGCTCAAACATAAAGAGCCCCAGAGCTCCCGCCTCGTAATCCTCGAACAAGAGCTGGTTAGAGCCGAGGCTGAGAATCTGGTCGCTGAGGCCCAACTGACAAATATCGTACGTCTCATCGCAGGGTTTTAATTATATTAGCTTTTCGGGACATACACTAACATCATATGCGCCGTCCGGGAGTAGACTCGTAACAAGCTGAAGGAAGCCTATGACGCCGAATTCGCCGCCGTGATTGAGCGCGCAGAGAAACAAATCATCCTTGCAAAACACGGCCGGCGCCTCCTCGAGCTGCTAGATGATTCACCCGTCACACCTGGCGACGCGAGACATACCTACCAGAACAGCGGCGCCGCCCGACAGGTCTTGAACGATGCCGAGGACGACCTCAAGAGCTGGGAGAGGAACACCGATAGCTTTGACTCGGTTGCAGGAGGCTACGACATGACGGGCGTTGGCCATACTGTTAACGACGGTAGTACTGCTACTAGTATGGGCGGGAAGGGAGGGGGTCAGGCGCCTATCATGACTGATGCTGGTCGCGCGTCCGCTGACGGTGGTGAGCATCACCAACTAACGGGAGGGGCGAGCGAGGCGCCGTATGTGAGCCCGACACCGACTTCGACCGATGATGAGAATAATGAGAGGAGGCTCTAAGTAGTGGTAAAACTAATATGTTACTCGCTTGAGCTAACATGATAAATTGTTACAATGGGAGGTTTTCTGGAAAGGGTGAAGTTTTGTTTAGTTTTAGTGTATGTATATTCTCTCTGCTTGAATGGGATTGGGATTATGGGAGGGTTTATTCATCGGTGATATAAATATATCGGGCTCGTAGTAGGTTTAGGTATTAGGAAATGGGAAATGGGAAATGGTAGGGCTTGGGATAATGGAAGGCTTCAAGTTGTTATAGCTGTTGGTTTAATGAATTTGCTATTTTCCTCCCTAAGGTAGTTAAAGGAAAGTCTCACATGTTAGTATGCACATACGAAGAACATTGATGCATTTAAGATGTATAACTTTGGGGTATTATTCCCTTGTCCGGGGTTCAATTATATCAAAGCTTCCACTCTAAAAAATGACGATTTGTCGTCCCACCAAGTTACTCGAGCTGCTAGATAAAATGGGTTCCATTGTCCTGTCCGGACGCCAGCTCCAAAGGCCTCTCTCTAGTTTATGTAGAAGCTGTAGTCGCCGACTTCTCCCCCAATTATCTCGGTCGTACGCCAGTGCCAGTTCGCAACAACTAGATATCTACGATGTTGTATGCGTGGGCGGTGGCCCCGCTGGTCTAAGTCTGCTCACGGCGCTGAGTGAGTGCGCCCATCCGGTCTGTTTAGGCCAATGCTACCCCTCGAGCTAACGCCTAACGCAAAGGATCGAACCCGACAACCGCCGGCCTGCGAGTAGCCCTCGTCGAAGCGCAAGATCTAGAGAAAATCCGCTCGTGGAAGCTACCCCCCGACCGTTTCTCGAATCGTTGCAGCTCACTGACCCCGGCATCCGCGCAGTTCCTTGAGAATGCAGGCGCCTGGGCACACGTACGCCGCGATCGCGTCCAGCCGTACCATGAGATGCAGGTCTGGGACGGGGTGACGGACGCGCGCATCGAGTTCGAGTGGACACCGCCCGCTACCGGGAAGACTATCGCATACATGACCGAGAACCTGAACCTGACATCCGGCCTACTGCGCCGGATAGATGAACTAGGCGGCGTGACGGTGTTCAACGGAGCCAAGGTTGCGGGTATCGCGTTCGGCGAGGAGACGGAGGACTTGGACCTTCGCGAGTGGCCTATTGTGCATCTAGCGAGTGGAGAGCGACTGGCTGCGCGGCTGCTGGTAGGTGCTGATGGAGTGAACAGCCCCGTGCGCGCATTCGCAGGGATCGAGAGTAAAGGGTGGGATTATGAGAGACATGGAGTCGTGGCGACGTTAGAGCTTGAAGGAGAGGGATGGGGTGGAGACGCCATGAAAACTGCATACCAGAGATTCCTACCTACGGGCCCCGTCGCTATGTTACCTCTACCCGGAAACTTATCAACCCTAGTATGGTCGACAACGCCGTCGAATGCTGCGTTGTTAAAGAGCCTGTCCCCGAAGGACTTTGTTGCTTTGGTTAACGCGGCTTTCCGGCTACGTCCCGTGGATCTCGAATATATGCACACACTAAGCTCCGGCCAAGAGGAAGAGCTATCTTGGAGACTGCAACACACGCAGTTTAACCGCCGGGCGATACCACAGACAGTTGTGGGTGTACAGGAGGGCACTATCGCGTCGTTCCCACTGAAGATGCGACACGCGGATACATACATCGGGGAGCGTGTCGCGCTGGTAGGAGATGCAGCCCACTCGATACACCCGCTTGCTGGGCAGGGCCTCAACCAAGGCCAAGGAGATGTAGAAAGCTTAGCACGAACGATCGAGTTTTCAGTATCACACGGCCAGGATCTGGGAACGCGGATGTCTCTCGAGTCTTACAACTCAGAGCGTTACGGGCCTAACCACGTTCTCCTGGGGGTCTGCGACAAACTGCATAAGATCTATTCGGCTGGTAGCGGACCCCTAGTACCTTTAAGGTCGTTGGGGCTTAACGCGATTAATGCTATGGGACCTGTCAAGAGCTTCTTTATGGAGCAAGCTGCGGGCAATGGCATCAAGCTGTTCTAGGCCCGTGAACTCGTAAACCTACCATTATGAGCCCTTGTACAATAGTAAATAACAAAGTAGATCGGCTAGAGTAGAGCAACTCATTAATCCTGTATGCCATGTGCGATAAATATATACTCATGTCAAGAGCAGTCAAGGAAAAGCAGTAGAGTAGAACGCCATTGAGATTGTTCTGTAAAGATAAATATGCTAGCTGCAAAATCATAGTCCAGATCGACAATAACGATGTCTTAATGTCTTAATGACACGATCGCGAGGTACCTAGATATGTTCAGAAACATCGTCTTCTTCATAGCGACGCGTCAAGGCGCCAACTACAATGAAAACAAAATAAGAAAAGCAAAAATTCCGCCCACTACGATCCACGAGGGATAATAGAAGAGGGTCAGCTCCGCGCTGTGCAATGCAGGCTTCTCCTCTTAAGAACCCTCATTCTTGAGCGAAGGTTCTTCAGACAAGGTAAGTATGAAGAAGAAAAGAAAAGAAGAGGGAAGAGAAAGCTCAAGACGAAGAATTAAATATTCGTTTGGAAGTGGGGCTACTGCGGAAGCTAGAGGGGTCAGCTGATCAATAGTGGGGTGTGCTTAGCAGAGCGTTACTAAGAGATGATAGATAACCAATCGATAAGATAATCCCTTCCTTTCTCTGGTCGCAGTTTATTTTTTTTCCTTGACATGCGCTTCCCGCCATTCATTGAATTCACCCCACTCACAATTCAAAGTCACAACCAAACACAATGGCACCTTCGTCAGGACGGCGGCAACCGCCAAGCGCGGAAGAATTAGATGAGCGCAATGTATGTCTCTAAACATTTCTGGGTTCTATACAGGTTTTGATCTGACTCGTAAGCTAGATCGTAGGTATCAACAAAGAAACAGTCACCAACACCGTCTCCACCGATTACCCGGAAAACTACGCGAACGAAGAGCACGCATGGGATAAGGAGGCTTTCCGCAAGAGCTTCAAGATTCAATGGCACCAGAACGAACAATTTGAGGCGCAATTCTCGCTTATCGGCGTTGACGCCTCCATAGCAAACGCTTTCCGCCGAATTCTCATCGCCGAGATTCCCACACTCGCTATCGATATAGTCTACATTCACAACAACACCTCCGTAATCCAGGACGAAGTTCTGGCCCACCGACTAGGCCTCATCCCCTTTACTGGCGGGAAGAAGGGTCTGCGAGAATGGATGCGGTTCTGGCGACGGCCCGCCGAGGGCGAGGGTGCCTACGACACGACTTTCGACAACAACACAGTATGTCTGAAGCTCAAGGCGCAGTGCACGCACAACAAGAACGCGCCGCCCAACTCTAAGGACCCGAAGGAGCTATATCACAATGCGCACCTATACGCCAAGGACATCACGTTCGAGATGCTCGGCGCTCAGTCCAAGTTTTTCTCGGGCGAAGACGCTATTCGCCCTTTCAACCCGGACATCCTGATCGTCAAGATGCGCCCCGGCCAGGAGGTCGACATCGAAATGCACATGCATAAGGGTTACGGCTGGGATCACGCCAAGTGGTCCCCCGTTGCCACCGCTAGCTACCGGCTCATGCCGACCATCAAGATCACGCAGCCGATCCTGGGCGACGACGCCAAGAAGTTCGCGGGATGTTTCATGGACGGCGTGATCGGATTGGAGCCCGTGACGCGGCAGGAAGCCCGTAAAAAAGGTAGCGGGTACGAGGGCCACGAGGGTGAACTAAAGGCCGTGGTGAAGGACCCGATGCACGACACGGTGAGCCGTGAGGCGCTACGACATCCCGAGTTCGAGGGCAAGGTCAAGCTGGGCAGGAGACGGGACCACTTCATCTTCTCGATCGAGAGCACAGGCCAATGGGATAGCGATGAGCTATTCCTCGAGGCCGTCAAGACCCTTAAGAAGAAGTGCCAGGTGCTCCGGCCGCAGGTCACGAATATGGTCTACACGTACTAGATGGCTCTAACAGATACCTTCTCTACCATATCTATAGATGAAGATAGATCGCGATAGGTCGTACCTACATAATGGAGTGTACAGTTGGAGAGGAGGGTGGTGGCGGTAGCGGGTGTGGCTTTGCCTGCTCTTGCAGACGAGGGTGCGTGCATGCATGTACGGAGTTCTTTTATTTTATTTTCTATTCGTGACACCCGATGGCGGCGTTTATTGGAAAATGGAACTGATTTTGCCAGGTCAAAATAGGGCAAGAAATAAAAGACTAGAAAGAATTACAACCACGTATTTTTGAGCTACACACGAAGAGGAACTAGTAGCATCGCTTCAAAAGTTGATTTTTTCTTTATCCCTAGTCTAATTCAACTAGTTGTTTCTCGCTTCTACGAATCGTTAGGAATGTTTAGAAATCTAATTGATGAACGGTTTGAAACGATTTGCTATCCTCAATAGCAAAGCAGCATGTTTGATGCTGGATTTTCCTGCTTGCGCTCGAATAAGGGCTACCCCTACGCGACTATATAGAAGCGCCATAAATTTGAGATGCTATGGTATATATATATAATCTGAATCATTGTCAGCCGTGCTTATGAGCTTAGTTTCTAGAACCCGATAAATATTAGAGATAACTTGGGCCGAGCTTGAAGAAAATAGCAGCCAGATAATAATACCTAGTACGGAAATGAGTGAAATACAAACGCCACTTACTCTCGATTTCACTTCGCAATATGACTTAAGAGTCCCGGAATATATAAGACTTTAGCGCCTCTTGTACCCCTTTCCGCTTTCCGGAGAGCACCACTAGCAAAGTATCATGGCGTAGTTTAAGAATTTATTCCGTTTACCTGTCATGATCAAATCCCCAGCATAGGAAGATAAACAGAGTTCCAGGGCTAGTAGTACGACCTCGTACTCGCACTCCGGTAATCTTCGTGGGTGCCCGGGAATGCGCCGACCGGTGACGCGACGGCAGTCCCCTCCTCGTCATCCGAACTAAGCTCGACGCCTTGGTAATTGTCCGGTCCGTCCGGCGGTGCGCGCATACTTTCTAGAGACTCTCTCGAAAGCTCCGGGGGTTGGTATGGTTTGATTGTGTGCATATCCCTTCCGGATGGGAGACTGGCTAACAACGTCCCCGGCGACGGGATAGCCTGCGTGAGCATCTGTTTATGTATAAGCTATGGCGACGTTTATTTCCCCGGTCAGACTTACGGTATCGTTGATTTTGGTCCATTTCGTATCCAGCATCTCGATCACGCGTGTCTCCTCTAGTTTCCCAGCGTCCGCGCCCCAGTTAGTACCCCTTTCGATTTTCTTGTCTTCCCTCCTCTCAGTCCAATCCTTCTTCATGCGACTAAGGCTTAGGCCCTTTTTGGCCTCCTTGTACTCGATGCCGAGTTCTTGAAAGCCGCACCGCAGCCAGCCTAGCGCGTTGCCGGTTTGACCTGACAGTTCAGCATCGATAGCGAAAAACCGACATGCCTTTGCGCGGCTAGTCCTCCGGAAGTCCTCTAGATATCGTAGTAATCCTTCGTTAAGTTTCGAGGATCCTCTTCCGGGTGACTTGGATAAGGAAGATGCTTGAGCTGCGTGATCCGCAGCCGCAAGACAGAGCCGAGCAAATAGGTGAGCCCGAACCTTGGGTATCTCAGGCGCCTTATACATCCACTCTCGGTCGTTTTCATTGCGGTCTTGGGCGACGGCAGCTGGATATGGATCATCCTTAAGGACTGCAAGTAAGGTGGCCTCAGCTAGGGCAAGTAAAGACATGGCGCGGGCGGTGGACTGGGATATATCAGGACAAGGGGGAATAGTGGTAAGACTCTCGGCTCGGCGAGCGACATAGTCATGCGCCGAGGCTGCATCAAGTAGATATTTTGTAGCCGTAGTAATTATCTTAGTACGCTCCTGCGGACCGAGAGGCGGGCCTGAGGTGACATAGAGTGGATGTAGGGTATAGCGGGCAAGTAGAGTATTAGTATAACCTAAGGTCGAAAGAGTGAAGAACAGTTCATATTCTAAGGACTGTATTTTAACCCTAGATATTTCTTTCCCGGGTATAGCATAGTCGGATAAAGTAGGCCGCCATTTTATAGTAGGGGTAGATGTCAAAACCACACTGAGCTGCTCGCCAGAAACCGACTTGTTACTCAAACCAACGTCGATAGCAAGGAGATATGGAAGATAGTTATTTAAATTAGAGATTACTGAAGGCAGATTTGGTGCCTGAGAGGCAGCTGGTAATTGTTTATGCTTCTTCAAAGAGTCGCCTAAAACCCCACGATGCGTGCTCGCATTGAGAGGTAGGGAGGGGTGTGACTCGCAGGCGATACTCGAGGAGAAAAAGAAGCGTTTTGTAGTGGGGAGTATAAACTGAAAAGGCATATTGTTGACCAGCTACCTTACGTCTTTATTTTAAAGATGAGAAATAGTTAATATAATGAATGGTATTCTAAACAGGTCGGTTAAAGAATTTGACTTAACGTCCTCTTGATAAGGAAAGAAGAAAAGGCTTTCTTAAGTCGAGGTAACGCCAGCCAAGTCGCTTGGCTCGTTAAGCCTGAGTTCATGTGTTCACGTTGTAATTGTACAACACCTCATAACCTGATATCTAACAAAAAGAGAGTCTTATATAACCTGTGGAACCGAAATATTCCCCAATCGGAATGCGACAAGCCACATACAGGGGGCTAAGAGGCTTACATAGTATTATTCGATTAATTCAAGGTTTACAAGCCCGGGGATGTCCCCCAGTTCTTGGAGAGCAGGTACCCCTGCTATAGCTGTAGCGCCATAGGTAGCTGCATATGTGTACGAAAAGGAGTGGACCCCTGTCATAAAAAAAAGGTACGAAGCACTAACAAAATGTCAGATCGACTTTAACACAATTCCACCATCCATGACCGTACCAGCGAGATCGTGCCTAACAATAAAACGGTGAATACCATGGCTTCCGCCTCGCCATCACCGCATAAGCCTCGGCGCAAAACCAAGAAGGCCCATTTCGAAACCACTGTCAATGCCAAACCCGAAGCTCTAATCCGCACTCCTTCGTTCCCTCTCGCAGCTTTCCTCTGGCCAGCCCGGAGCTCTCTGTCGCAATGGGAGGTCCTACCGCTCATTCTTATGGTTGTCGGTCTGTTTAGATGGGCTGCAGGGCTTTGGGGATATTCAGGTTGGTCCCAATTCTACTTCTACTCAATCTATCTTAAGATCTCTTAGCTAACCTAGCTCTCAACCCAATAGGCTTCCGAAAGCCGCCCATGTTTGGTGACTACGAAGCGCAGAGGCACTGGATGGAGATAACGACACATCTGCCAATATCGCAATGGTATTTCCACGACCTACAGTGGTGGGGTCTCGACTATCCTCCCTTGACCGCGTATCACAGCTGGCTTCTCGGCAAGGTCGGCTCACTCATCGACCCCTCATGGTTCGCACTCTACACTTCACGAGGCTCAGACGATCCGACGCTCAAGGTCTTCATGAGGGCTACTGTCATTGTGTCCGAGTATCTGATCTATATACCTGCCGCGGTGGTCTTCGTCAGGAGGTATAGCAAGCTATCGGGTGTTGCTCAATGGACTGCATCCGTAGCGCTAGTCGCAATCCTCATGCAGCCAGCTACCATCCTTATCGACCATGTTCACTTCCAGTACAATACGGTGATGCTCGGATTCGTATTGGCGAGCATGTCTAGCATGGTAGCAGGTCGATATATGTGGGCATCCATCTTCTTCGTTTGCGCTTTGGGGTTCAAGCAGATGGCACTTTATTACGCACCGGCTGTATTCGCATTCCTCTTAGGAAGTTGTACCTTTCCTCGTATTAATATTGGGCGGTTCATGGGGATCGCAGCGGTTACTCTCGCATCCTTTGCCGTGCTTGTCTTACCGATAGTTTTAGGTACGCTATACGACGTCAGCCGAGGTATTGACTCGCGACCTGACCTAGATGGACCCCATCCCCCGTTACCCATATTCGCCTTTCTCTCAACCTATTTGGATACGAATGCTCTATACTATCCTATAGTTGAGCAAGCCTTTCAGATGGTTCATCGAGTTTTTCCTTTTGCACGGGGACTATTTGAGGACAAAGTTGCCAACTTCTGGTGTGCAGCTAACGTGGTCATAAAGTTGCGGAAATATCCAACTGAACTCTTACAACGAGTCTCACTCCTAGCAACTCTTGCTTCAATTGCTCCTCCATGTGCAATTCTATTCTTCAAGCCCCGCAAGGAACTTCTCCCGTACGCCTTCAGTGCAACGGCGTGGGGTTTCTTCTTATTCAGCTACCAGGTTCATGAGAAGAGCGCACTTCTCCCACTTCTCCCTATGACCGTACTCCTTGCAGGAAAGCAGGGACTAGGGAAGGATATTAGGTCCTGGGTTGGATTTGGCAATCTCGTTGGCGTGTGGACTATGTATCCCCTGCTACAGAGAGTTGACCTACGGATGCCTTACACGGTACTGACGCTCTTGTGGGCATATCTATTAGGCCTACCTCCTGTATCGACCAGTGCCTACTTCGAGGAAGGACAGAACATATGGGTTCAATGGTTGACAGCTATTATTCACGGTGCTTTCTACGCCTCCATGGGAGCCTGGCATATACTGGAATTGTTTGTCACCCCACCTCCCGATAAGCCTGACCTCTGGGTTGTCGCCAATGTCGGTATAGGCGCAGCTGGATTTTCCCTGTGCTACATGTGGTGTCTATGGAGACTAATACAGGAGAGCGGGATCATCCCTCGGAAACCCCCGGGATCCAAAGTCAAAACAACTTGACGCGGGTCGAGACCCGTATTCGTGCACATAGCCTATAATCTAAAGTTTTCAAATAAAAAAGTTGATTCTCCCAATCTAGCGTTGATGACCTTCAAGACTCAACAATATGCAGATGATCGATTCAGCGTCACTACTCCTCTTGACGCTTCTTTCCATCTGGAGGTTGCGGGGATATATCATAGCGCCACCAACAATCTCAAGTAACTAGCTAATTATCCCTAGATAAGTGTAAGCTCCGCCAGGAGAACAGCCTTCAGACCCAGACATTTCATTGGCAATGCTCTCTACGATGAATAATTAAGGTTACTCGCTCGTCCTTGACTATGCTAGCGCCTATAAGAGAATACGGCGCCGAATGCTTACTTCAGAAGTTTATCAACTCATCATCACCGCTGCCCCTTGATGTCTAGCCGATTAATGCCAAGCGCTTCTGTTAACGTCCCAATGGGTTTTTGGACTACGAAGAAGCTGGCTTATACCCGGGGCCATCGGGGGATGTCGTACGGGAGTAACGTCCTCATGGCCTAGTTCCTGGCGAAGCCATCTCCACATCTCATCATTTGGCTGGCTATGCACTCAGTGAAAGCGGTGCTCTGTGATGTGAGAGGCGGGCCTTACATCGGAAAGATGGCCACTTCCACAGCTACGGTATCATATCCATCCGCTGAAATCATCTCGTTCGAATCTATAATATTTCCCTTGCTATCCCGGGACAGTGACTACTACGGTGTTTACTACGTAGTATGAAGATCTCTCGAGAAATAGGAAATAAGTTAAATATGCTATACGTATATTCATAATGAAATAACATTTGAATTTAAAGAACTAAAATGATACGAAAATAAAAATAGTATTCAAATCAACTTCATTATTTATTTTAATATAGTTATAGTTAGTAGTTAAGATCATTTCATGCTATATTATTGCAAGTCTTTATCCGATAAGCGGAAGGGCAGTTTATATCTTGTAATATAGCCTTGTAACAACGCGCAGTTATGACTCAACATGCCGAGCACATGAAAGCAGTGGTATTGGATCTTAACCTAGATGTACAAAACACAACGGACTATCCTTAGAACTCCTTGTTAGGTTTATCCTTTCTCAGGTATATTGAATCTGGCATCCCATCTTACACAACACGATGGCGGACATCATTACCGAAAGCACTGCCAAATTACAACTGGATGAGGAGACCGGGGAAATGGTGTCAAAGAATGAGCTGAAGAAACGTATGCAGAAGCGAGCCAAAAAAGCCGCCGCAGCTGCTTCCTCTCGCAATGGTACATTGACATCTGAAGGTCAAGGACCGACCAATGCACCATCTAGCAAGCCCGCCAAGGCAGAGGAGTTCAGTATCGACCCAGATGCCATGTTCAACCAAGGCTTCCTAGCTGAGGTTTACAGGCTGCGCCCGTCGAAGGACGTCGTAACGCGATTCCCACCTGAACCAAATGGCTACCTTCATGTATATTTTCATTCTTCGGCCGATTTCCTACATCTACCAAGCAAGCTAATATGGTAGATTAGCTCGGGCATGCCAAAGCAATAGCAATTAACTTTGGCTTTGCAAGACATTACGGGGGCAAGACGGTCAGCTTCATATTACATTCGATGGCTTCTAAGACGTTGGCTAATATCTTGATATATTCTTAGGTTATATTCTACTTGTCAATTGCCAGCCGGAAATCTTCTGACGAATACTCCAGATTCGATGACACGAATCCCGACGCTGAGAAGGAGGAGTACTGCATCGCCATCAAAGATATGATCCGGTGGCTGGGATTCACCCCAGCTGAGATTACTTATTCATCCGATAACTTCCAGTGCATGTACGATCTCGCTGAAGAGCTGATCAAGCAGGAGAAAGCCTATGTGTGTCATTGTAACGAGGCCGAGACGAAGATGCAACGCGGCGGCGAGGATGGGTCCAAGCCGAGATATCGATGCGAACATTCAAAGCAAGACGTCGAGACCAACCTCAAGAAATTCCGAGATATGCGAAATGGAGAGTATGCACCTCAGACAGCTTGGCTTCGCATGAAGCAGGACATGGAGAATCCCAACCCCCAGATGTGGGATATTGCAGCATATCGAATACCCAAGAACCAGGAGCCGCATTTTCGAACAGGAGCTAAGTGGAGGATATACCCAACCTACGACTTCGCGCACTGTTTATGCGATAGTTTTGAAGGTATAACACACAGCTTGTGCACTAGCGAATTTATAATGTCGCGAGAGAGTTACGAGTGGCTAAACCAGTAAGTCTTGAGCCATAAGCCTTGAAGCAATAGATACTGGAAAGTAGATGGTGGAAACTTATGCTTTTCCATTCACAAACCCTCTCCCTGTTTTCTCCAGCGTAAACTAACAAAATTAGGCTCCTGGTTAAGTTTCAGCCAATGCAACGCGAATTCGGTCGCTTGAATCTCAGGGGTACAATCATGAGCAAGAGAGATATAAGGTGCTTAATAGAGAAGGAAATCGTTCGCGGCTGGGATGATCCACGCCTATACACCCTCAAAGCGCTCCGGCGGCGGGGTATACCCCCTGGGGCGCTTCTCTCTTTTATTAACGAACTTGGTGTCACTACGGCTACTAGCTTCATCGAGATGAACCGTTTTGAGCAATCTGTCCGACGATATCTGGAAAGGACCGTACCTCGCCTCATGCTAGTCCTTGATCCTGTGCCGGTAGTGATCGAAGACGCCGAGGAGCAGGATCTAGACGTCCCCTATTCGGCAAAAGACCCCAAGATGGGATCCCACAAGTTGAGGCTGACTAGAAAGATCTATATTGACCGCTCCGACTTCCGGCAGGTGGATAGCAAGGACTACTTCCGACTCGCCCCGGGCAAGACTGTTGGCCTCTTGCATATGCCGTACCCTATCAAGGCAGTCTCTTTCGTAACGGACGACGCCTCGGGAGCTGTCAAGGAGATCAAAGCTATCTTCGATAAAGATATCAAGAAGCCCAGAACCTATATCCAGTGGGTGCCCGAGGGCTCACTTGCGGCCGAGGTTCGCATCCATAAGCCCTTATTCAAATCAGAACAACCCTCGTCGGCGCCCGGCGGGTTTATGGACGACATCGTCCCTGATAGCGAGACAATCTGGCCGAACGCCATGATCGAAGCCGGCTTCCACGAGGTGCGCCGTCGAGCACCGTGGCCAGAGGCGGAGGGTGAGAAGACCGGTGACTCCGGGCCCGAGAGTGTGCGTTTCCAGGCTATGCGTGTTGCCTACTTTGTAAGTGGTTGCCACTCGTTTTATCACGCTTCTACTAATAGTCTCTGGTTGGCGACAGGCGCTGGACTCGGATAGCACGGATGATGCTATTGTACTTAACCGTATTGTGTCTTTGAAAGAAGATTCTGGGAAAAGTGTCTAACTATTAAAACTGCTAAATAATTGAAAAGAAAAGAACAAGCAATTATAAAAAATATAAAATAGAATATTAATGGTAATGAAGAAGAATAAAAAAGGTCACAATCGCAAGAATAATCGTTATTACTGAAAACTACAACTAATGTAATAACGGTAGTATCGAGGCTACATTATAACGACTCGAGGGCTTAAAAAAAAGGGGAGGGAAACTATTCCTTAGCTTTAGATGGTACTTAGGTTGAATATCTGGTAAAGGCAAACCTGGTAAGCAGCTACATTTAAAGGGGGCTATTATGTGGACCCATCTAGGTACCTAAGGAATTGAGGTGTGACTTGGACTACCTCCCTAGAAATGTAGCGACTATATTTAATACGGTCTCTCTAAATGACCAATCCATCGGTTATACTTTAACTTATTTATTCGAATAGTCTTTAGTAGCCGGGGATACGTCTCATTTATTCATAGATCCAAGATATTGGACGGATAGGGGTTAAGATCAAGTAAGGACCAAGTCGCATTCACACCTACACCCACATGTCACAGATGCATGCACAGGTGTCAAAATCCTAATTCCAATTCTCTTATGTTGCATAAGCTTCTTTTGATCCTCCATTTGACAACCGAGACCCATCACGAGGCAAGCAGTAGGCCGCGCCATTCCAGCTGATCTTTCCGGTTGAAAATAAAAACTTCGCTCTACGCCCGTTACGCCACACAATGTGCTGCCCCAGCCGGCATAGGCACATGGCGCAAGATGGCCTTTGGTTAGGCCTATGCGATCACGATGCGAAGTGCCACCAGTAGAGTTTTCCGCGGTTCGGTAAACTCTGGTCGTCTAGTAGACCTTCTTCTTTTCGTCGATACTGAACTGGCCGGGGCCGCTGTTAACTAGCAGGAGGAGACCGCCGACGATGGAAAGAATCTGGAAGAAGTCGTACTTGGCGAAGTCCTTATGGGGGTGGTGCTCGTGAAGCTGCGCAAAAAATTAGCTCATGGAATAAAAAAAATATCTTCCCGGGGTCGCGTAAACTCACAGTCCAGAAGTTGTTAACCAAAACGTTGAAGACGCTCAGAATGAGAACTAGGAGAGTAGCGCTGAACTTGGCCTTGAATCCAACGACAACCATGACGCAGGCGATTAAACCAATGACAGACACACCGATTCTCCAGACGGACCACTCGCCGCTGAAGACGAAGCCGATGAACAGGAAGATTAAGAGTACACGACCGGCTAGCTGGAAGTACATCTTTCGGTCCTTCTCGTCGAGCTGGGGAAGACCTGCGAACGCCTTGGTCTTCCTAACCCACGAGTCGGACAGAACCATGATCAGCCCACCGATGACGGAGAGATTTCGGAGGAAGAAGTTGAGGTCGAAGATCAATCCATATCCTAGCGCTTGCGTGACAACAACACCCATGAGACCGGCAACAGCGTAGTCGGAGTGTTTGCGAACGATAACCATCGTGGAGCAAATAACCATAGTCAAAACGTTTACGATAAGGAAGAGATGTGTCAACCCGCTAGGAACTAACAAAAAAGTCTAGTTAGCTCGGGAAGAGCAGCTTTAGGTTCTCTATAGAACAGAACTTACTATGCCTGTAGCTGTTCAGATACACCAGCTGGTCGGACCATTGTGTTATGATTCTTAGAGCATCCTCAAGGAACGTAACAACAATTAAGAAACGCCCGATGGCAGGGAGATATCTGTGGAAGAAGCGTGTTAGCTAGACCTCTTATTATTCAATTTCCCCTTTGGCTATAAGTTCTAATGTACACATTTACACGAGAGCCTAGAGCTCGCGCGAGGAGGTATTGACGTACGGCTTAATGGGTTCGCTAATAGTATCCAAAACATCCTCAATCTTACTGGTTTGTTCCCTAATCGCGTCCAAAGGACTAGGATCGGCGACTTCGTTCTTGGGGCCGCCGAAAGGGTTCGGGCCACCGAGATGGTAGCCGGCTGTACCTCTGATCTGGGCCATTTCGTGATTTAATCGCGGACTACGTCGCCCAGGCCAGCTAATTTTTGTTTGCGCAAGACGGGCGGGAATGAGAAGACAATCGTTGCGCGTGAAGAATGTAAAGCCAGGAGGCGAATGTTGGGGGGGTGAATTCTAGTAAGACGGACGAGACGGGGAGCGTCGGTACCAGGATTGGAAACGGAGGCACGGCAGCTATATAAGGTCAGAAGTAGAGAAAGTTGGATAAATAATAAGGAGGAAAAAGAAGACTAGTAAGTTAAAGCCGCGGTTGAGTATTATTTTACCTCTTCCAGGTTGAAGTTTTGAAGTTTTAATGTGTGCTAGACAACCGTGTCCTCAATTGACAATGATGCAAGGCCAAAGTTCCGACATGCCAGATTGGCAATTGGTTAGGTTACTTTAGGTAGGTTAGATTCTTCCATCTTACTTGACTAAAAATTGACTTAGCTTCGGGGGGGGAGAACATTGTGGCATGGTTAGCGCATTGACCATACAGCCAGGACAGCCCACGACCGTAGTTTTAGAAATGTTCTTTGCGCTAGTCGGGAACTTGGCACCCGCGTCAGGAATGTAGTGGAATCAATGTACCTGTCCATCATCCAGCTCCGCTCGGGTACATCTACTATGTACGAAGCTACACATGTGAGCTTAACCTTAAATACTCGGGCATTGTGTATATCCGCCCGCCGACAAGGTTAGCCTCCACTACCTCTACTAGCATGACGCTTAGCCGCATGATGCCAAAAATAAAACTGTAATCCCGACGTAATCACCCACGTCCAGACTGGACCGAGTAACATATCGTATGTACATACCTACACATACGAAGATGAGATCCACTCGCTTGGTAGATCTGAGCATCTCGTATAGCTTTGATTGGACATTATTAAATGGGTTATATGTAGAAGATACGAAATAGGGCTGAAGCAACAAGCCAACAAGCCTCACCTACGATGGATTACTCGTACATGTCAGCCAACGGATGTCACTATTCTTTGGGCAAACGAACGTGTCACCAATTTACTATGCAATCAAGCAATACTACTTGATGGGTCTACGGTGGGTTAAAAAAGGGATGTCCTCTTCTTCCCGAGATAATGATGCATATGTCCAATAAACGGAGCCAGACTTGAACTGATTTTTGATAAGATGAGTGATTGAGGGAATGCCGTCAAGTTATAACATGAGGCATCTTAGGCTTTAGCAAGAATGTGTATATAAGTCAGGAATAACCCCGTACCAGGAATCAACTAGTAATGACTGAGTTGAGTGAGTTCGTAATTACTAGCGTTTATCTAGCTATTCTGAACGTATTTAATATACAGCTATAGACCCCTTACTATATTCTCGTAATTGATCCCACTTTAGGGAATCCCGTGACATAGAGTCTTTTGATCCCGTAGCATATGCCCATCCGGTTCCCATCACGACCATTTTCGCGTTAGACCAATCAACGGTAGTATGTAGTTATGCCCATGGCGGAGGAAACACGTCCAGCACGTCGTGACCGGGAAGGCCGACAATGAGCGAAGGGTATGTACTGCCAATCAACCTCCCCAAGAGGCGTCATCCTGGCCCTCGTGATATAGTCCCTATTCCCTAATACTACTCCTTAAGTAGATGTCAAGGCCGGATAAGAGAGATACATATCCAAGCGTCGATACCGGATACCTAGGATCTGAAGGCCTCACTGCTCTATCTTATGAACCAGGGTCCAGGGAATTGGTAACCTAGAGCAAAATCAGTCTTGCAGTAGGTCGGTAGGTCGGTAGGTAGTAGCCAGGCAGGCAAGGCGAAGCCGTCATTAGCCTCACTCCTTGACTTGACCGAGCAATCATAAGATAACCCAATCGAGTATCACCTCCCAATACCCCGTTCTCACGCAATAACCAACGCATCAATAGCCGCCTTCGCAATCGCAATAACCTTCTGGCACGTCGGCGTCTCTCCCTGCGTATGCAGCGCCATCCCACAATCCGGCGGCTGCCAATTCCCCGTTGCTACCAGCGCATCCATAAGAGCGTGCCGCGCCCGGCTCTTCTGCTCCATCTGGTTGACGATATCCTTCAGGCCAATATGTATCGGCAACGTATCCGCTTCCGTCGTATCAACGTCCGATAATCCGTACACGTCCGCCTTGAGCAGCGCCCGCACCGTCAGCCGCCACATCGCCGGCTCCATCTCCCGACAGTCCAGCGTCCCGGCCGCCATGCAAATGTTATCTTCTTCCGCCGACCCGCAGCCCCAGAGGATGCCGCCGAAACCGCGCAGTCGGAATATGAGGCGCCGCCGCTCGGCTGTTGCTCGGCTTGCTTCTTCGTCGACGGCTTGCAGGATTCGCTGGTAGGCGTGTACGATGCTCGGGATTAGGGCTGCGAGCAGCATTAGGTTCTGGAATGAACGCATGATATCTGGCCCCGAGTTGTGATCTGGTGGATCGAGCCTAAACGAGCACACGGGGCAGTACACCGCGTCGTAAGCCGTCTTCGTCGCTTTTCGCGCGTGCCGGATCGATTCTTCGACGCCTTCGGGCTGTTTCTGCATCGAGTCGAGGGCGAGGTATAAGGCCGCGGTATGCGCACAACTCGTCGGCTTAGCCGCTGGGGCGGTACTGCATGAACTTCCCACACTTTCGGGCGTTGCAGCTGAACTAGGCGTTAGGTTCGGCAGTTGATCTATGCTCGGTAGGTCTGCCGCCGATACAAAGAGGGACGGGTCGATATTCAACGAGGAGAACGACGGCGCGGTCTCAGGTACAGAGTCGAAGCCTACATCCCCAAGGCTATCCCCCGCGTACCCAAAGGACCACGAGAAGCCCTTCTCTTGCGGCGAACTTATCGGCGCGTCAAGATTGTTAACGTTGGGTTCGCCCGCCGCCAGAAAGTTAATAAAAGACAAGCCGAGGTCTTCAGTATCCGGCGGGATCTCGGTCATGGCGTTCTTATTCGCGGAGACGGCATTCGTAGTGTCATTGCTCGATTCATCTCGGGGACGTTTTCGTGGGCGACCCATCTGCTTCTGGGGAGAGTAGTGGCAGGCGATGCCCTCGCGCTTACAACGAGAGCAGCCCTCGGGCTCTTTGGTGCAAGCTAGCTTACGCGTGCCTGTAGCAAATGTAAGTCCAATCTGGACCCGCGACTCAAATCAGTGAACCATCGCCAAAACGTACGGCATTCATCACAAGCCCTGTGCTTCGGAGCACACTCCGTAGCTGGGCCAACAGCCTCTGCAGTCGTCATCGTCGCCATCGTCGCCATCTTTATATGTAGATCTCTATACTGAGAGTCTGAGCTTCACTTGAAGTAGTGTCCTTTAAAAAGGATGTTGCGACAGTATTACGAGAGGAAAGATACGGCGCGGCTCTTCGTTCTTCAAATCACCTTGAAGGCGGGTCCCCTTTCACCGATTCGTAAGCACGAGTCGTGCCTTGTCTTGTTCCATGGTTGGTTGAGATAGAGGGTACATTATAACTTTCTTATGATACCTCAAATTATGGATTATAGGAGTGCTAAATTGAGGTATCTTTTTCAGCTCTTCACGTACCGGCCAAGCCTTCATCTAATTGATGGAGGGGAATTGTGGCTAATGCTGGTTATCATGGATTAATATTAACGCCACTCCTCCCTCCTATATATTAGCATCACAATTCGAGTAGGTATATGTTTTCTCTAAGGGGCCGAGAAATAATCGAACCAAATCATCGTCTCTATTAAGTAGCATTAGCTACCTAGTCTAACTACTTTGTGTAAACTGCTAAAGACTGGTTCTGTCCTCAGACACGCAGAGCCGACGTAATGCTTTTGCGTCTACCGTAAGCCAAAAGGTATGAGACTCATCTAGGAATCAGTCTGATGTATACCTCTCTTTCTATCCTGTATTTTTAGAAGTCTCGTAGACCTCGTAAGTTAATCTTTAGCACATTGGCCGACTGGGTCTTCGTCTTGCATTTCACCAACCGCTCTTAGATCCGCTAATAACCGTCGAATCCTCAGTCCAGTTTTTGCCCGTATCATTGCATCATACGTATTATCTGCTGCCGCGTGTATAGCCACTTGAAGACCCTTGATGACGTCTCTGTCGCTGATATGTGCGTCCTCATAATCAAAGAATACGTCCAAATCCTTTAAAATGTCTCCAGTCTGAGGTATCGTAGGTAGCGTCTTTTCCTTTGAGGTATGGGATATTAGCTGTTTCGGCGGTGGAGCAGGTGGCTCCCGAGTAGGCTTAGGCAAGGATGGTGATGGCTTCTTTGGCCTTGAAATGGGAGGCATCTTCCGGTTTACAAAGATGATCTCTTCGTTTAGTCTAGGCCGGCGTGTGGGAGTAATCCCGGAAGCGTAATGATTAGAGTGACGGGGTGAGTATTGCTTCTGATTCGTCTTATCTACCAAGGTCGCAGGGCGGTTGCATAACTGAGTCGACTTATCGGCTTCCTGCTCCAACTTCTCGAGCTTCTGAGAAACTTCATCCAATGCCCGCTCTAAAGAGGAAGCCCGGCTAACAGCATACCGCGCCGCAGATGGCAGCGAAGGAACTGTGGAAGGAGATGTCCGTGGCGACACGCTACGTTTACGTTGACCCCTTTTGGTGACGGGAACTGGAGTATATTTTGGTTCGGCGCCAGGATATATCTGAATCTTTTCCTGGTCTACGTGATTCGGAGATGTTCGTGGCGACATGCTACGTTTACGTTGACCCATTTTGGTGACGGGAACTGGAGCATATTTTGGTTCAGCGGCATGATATATCTGAATCTTTTCCTGGTCTACACGAGTCGGAGATGTCTCCTTTTCTTCTTCGATGGTTTCAGGGAGAGGGAGACGAGCCATGGCCACATCTCGCTTGCGTAGGCCAGTATGCGCTAATGATTGCATCGTCCCAGGTTCTGGACCAGCTCGTGGAGCCATTGCTACTGAATGTCGTCCATGGTCACCGCGCTTAACTTCGACCCATGACAACTTTCGACCAGATGGCTCACGGCGTGTAGGAGAAGCAATCGGTTTCGATGTAGCTGCACGACGGAATCCAGACGGTCGGGTCCCGGGGCTGAGAGAAGAATGGTTGTGCCGTGCATGTTGGGAATCTATAGTCTTTACCCGGTGACTAACCTGGCTATCCTTGACGGGCTGACGTGTATACTGTGGCCTGGCTCGGCTGCCGCTATGGCTTTCCTTGGCTGGTGACTTCTTTCTTAACCATGGCAATATGCTTCCTCTGTCCTTAGACAATAATTTCCGCTTCGGTTTTGATTTTGGGCTTGGTAATATCTCGATTGGATTACCGGCTGGGGTGAACTCGACATACGACCCAGAGCTCGAGCCTGATTGCTCGCTCAAGACGTCGTCTTGTCCGTCAAATTCACCATCTACTTGAACTGAGGCCTGAACGTACCTAGCCGGACTACTTACGGGCTTTTCGTTGCTTCTATGTTTAATTAGAGGTCTCCGGCTCTGTTCTGCCGATGTCACGGCAAGGCCAGCTGCTTGAAATTCCTTCTGATATGGTAAGAGGGGCTGAACAGTATGATATGACATCTTCGAGTCAGAATCCGTGGGCGTCCTGACTGGAGCCTTGCCAACTGCCCCGGCGGCATCTGCATACTTCTCAAGTTGTCTTGTAAAGCGATTCAAGGCCTTGCGCTGGCTTGAAGTTCGAGAAGGGATTTCTGGCGACTGAAAATGCTCTACTGCTGCCTCCTCTGGTATGACTAGGGTTGATAACTGTCGTTGTTGGACTAGTGATCTATTAAGTGCATCCCAGACGAGAGGATCTGCAAGGCCAAATCTTTTCTCTCGGGCCTTTCCTCGATTCCGCGCTGCAATACTCATACCCCTCCGTCGTAGGCCACCGGCTATCTGGCTACTATGCTCCATCTTTTTAGTTGAATAATTTCTATTATCAGTTTGGGCTTGAGTGCGACCCCTACAGAGCTGCTTATTCTCAATTGAGGTTGTCGTCTTGGGCTTCATATTGGGTATTTGCGATTGTCGTAGGGTACCCCAATATGGATGGTCCTCTGTGAACTCGGGGGCTTGCATTAGCGAATACTGTTTACCGCCACTCGTAGATTCCCCCGTTCCTCGCGAGGGAAGACGCCTGCTAACTCGGACGCCATTTTTCTTCCGACTAATCCTGCGTTGCCGTTGTCGTTCTCCAACTAAAGGCTCTAGTAATGGTGGACGAAATAATGCTTCGGTGGCTCGTTGGGAGAGCTGCTCATTTGGGATTGCCGATGGATGAGTAATTTTCGGTCGACGATGTGGACTCCCCTTCTAAGGTAAACTGAGTTTAGGCATCGTCGATATTCCAAGAGTGATCCCCAAAAGATCCCAAAGGTACCTATACCTAACGTATGCTATGAAAAGGGTGTATTGACTGGCCACATGTTTAAAGCAAAAGTTTGGAAAAAATGATTTCAGGGTCATTCCTGGCGTCGTCCTCAGAAGATGTTATACGAACTAAGAGTGAGCCGCTCTTGCCCTTGGGCGATAGTTTGGTAGATCGAGATTGGAAGTTGACAATTGTAAAAGTTCCTTATACGATAATGAGCTGCGGCTTCCCGTCCGTAATATTATTACAGATTGCAGTATGGTAATTTGAGACAGTCGCGATTGTAATTTCTGTGGTGAAGCCGTAGACTAAGAACCCATTTGTAGATGACATCGATGAGATAAATGATCGACTTCATCTAATATCTTTTATACCAGGTGCCGAATACATTTCTAACTGACGATGTCCCTTGCGTAGAAGGAATTCAATGACAGCAAAATCTCTCTTATCAACCTTGATACTCTTCTCGAATTCAGATCTAAGGTACAAGTTAGTCTCTAATACATGATAATATGATAACATGATAACATGATAACATGATAGAAACGCATTAATCTAAAGCCTTTGAAATACCTGATAAATGATTCAAAATGCGGCCGCGTGGCCTGTGGTCAGTTGTTAATTATAATTGCATCACCAAGGTTGAGTACAGCTACACGAACCACCGGTTTTTTGCGGCTCGCGCGAAGACATTTGCGGTAGAGTGACAGGACATCCTTTTGCAAGCCGGATAGACGCATTTTAAGTGATTCTTATATAAGGGGTTTAAACCGACCAAGACGAGATTGATACGACGGAATGAAAATAGTTGTGGAAGTCTCGGACATCATCAATTCAGTTACGACGATGTGGATCAGAGCTTGCCTCCATTGTGTCATAAATATGAATATGCGCATCTCTAAGATTCTTAAGAGCAGTTTATTTGTTAAGCGAGTATTGTACTTATTGGGTATTGGTATGCGAAATAATTATGAAAAAGTCTATTGTCTAATTCTGATAATATGTTTCCCATCATTCCGACCCGATGTATGAAGCCATATCGTTGAATAGAACCTCCCCTCCGTCTGCGGTGCTACTTCATTGTTGAATTAGGTATCTGGGTAGCTCTATCAATTCCGAAAGTAAGCCCTCACTCCCTGGATAGCGACCCAGCCAGCGACGACGACCGTCACTATAATACGTAGCTCGCGTACCGCAGCCGCAGTAGTCGGATCAAGGCGGATGATGTGCACGTGGTTGATAGCACCTGCGTGCTGTGCAGCAAGAGAGAAGGATTCCATTTTTATTTTTATTTTATTTTTCCCCTTTAGATGGGCTTCAGGTTTGTAACTTGTTCACTGTAGGCTGTGCTAAATAATTGTAGGCTTATTCGATAATTATTCGGTAACTGTGGCGTAGTATCCGTTGAAAATAAAATTCTGTTTAAATGGCAAGCCATAAGGCTAGGAACACATGAAGTCGTTACTAAAATGGGTGTTGCTAATGTTTTAATTATCGATTATCGGTAAAGTTTATGATTCCTGATTCCTGCAGCTGACCGAGAGTAAAATTATTTAGCGACATAGGGTCAAGTTTTGTGGACTCTTTTCTCCCCTTCAACACCCAGAATAAGACATCGATTTATTTCCCCCCCTTATTTTTTCTTTTCCCTCTCTTCTGAATGAGACTGTCTTATATAAGAAATGGACCCAGTATACCAGTAAAATGAGAGCGGCAGCCTGTATTTGTCTTCATTTAGAAATAAATGAGGGTATTGATGAAAGTTCTACTGATATAAACCAGGGCGGTTTATATAAAGTACCTCTGATAAAGACTTGAGCTAAGAGCGCAACAAATCACTTTCAATATCCGAGCAAAGTATTCGATGATAGCATTATTTCATTTTGGCTACCTATTTTGAACTAACCACCCACCGGATGAGGACGCCACAAAGGCGCACATTGTATATATAAAACTCCCATTGCTCCAAACCAATCCGCAGCGACGGAGAGGAGCAGCATGCATGTAAATTCGTTAAGTGAGGGTATCGAGCATGCAAGAAGCGCGTCTCGCTCATGCAACAACGGCAACAGCACCATTAATAACTAAGACGTCGCTAGAAACCCACCGACCGTGATAGCAACATAAAAAAACATATACTCGCTTCTAATTACACCTTTTCAGGCATGTCGTGGGTCTCGATCGCAACCTCCTTCTCGACCTGCTCCAGGTTTAAGTGAGCAACAGCCGCGTCCTCGCCGTCGATGACCTTGGCCAGCTCCTCGAGCGTGGGGCCCTTAGTCTCCACGTACATGAAGTACACGAAGGCCAGCTCGCAGAAGATCCAGCAGGTGTAGATGATATACAGCTTCCAGGAGTGGTCCAGACCGAACGCCTCGAAGGCGACCGGGTTGGCGTACACGTTGAGGCACAGGGCGGCCTGGATCATGATGTTCAGGACCATAAGACCCTTGGCACGAAGCTTGTAAGGCAGAATTTCGATGGCGTAACCGACGAGCAGACCCGACCACGCGAACGAGTAGAAGAAACTGAACAGCCAGATGAAGAAGATCATGGCGTAGTTGGCGCCAGGGGAGCGGTGCTCGCCATATAAACCCGCACAGAGTGTCCAGAAGATGAAGACGCCGAACATACCGGCAGTCGAGCTGAGGAACATCGTTCGACGACCCCATCGGTCCACGAGCGTAGCCATGGTAACTGATACGATAAGAGACAAGATCATTTGACCTCCGGATAACTAGAGGGTCTTAGGTTAGAGACGGCCTTTTCGATTAGGATTATGAAAACTTACACCGAACTTGGAGTTGGAGTCCGTCACACCAGCCTGGTCGTAGAGCGTGCTGGCAAAGTTGGAGATGATAGCGTTACCAGACCATTGGGAGAAGAGACCCAGAGACAGGAGGACCGCCAATCGGTAACGATTTCCCTTAGTCCTGAAGAAGTCGAGGTAGCTGCTGTTGGTCTTGCTCTCCATCTCTAGCTTGATGGTCTCCCTAATCTCGCGGTACTCGAACTGGACCGTCGGGTGGTGGGCGTCGCCGTTGGCGTGGTACTTGGTGAGGATCGCGAGGGCCTGTTCGTGCTTGTCCTTGGCCATGAGGTATCGAGGTGACTCGGGGATCCACCAGATGAAGGTGATCTGGATGATGGAGGGGAGGGCCTGAAGGATAGCGGGAATACGCCACGACCAGTCGTTCTGGATGTAGTTCGTGCCGAAAGAAAGCCATGTGACGACTATGAAAGGGTTAGCAACTCCCATTCTACACAGGGCTTCGGGACACGAGACGTACCAATGGCACCTGCGTTCCATAGGCAGTTGTAGACAGCCGTGAGACGACCACGGTGCTGGGGATGAGCAATCTCGGTCAGCAACATGGGGGAGGCGATTTGAGCTAAACTGCTTCCGAATCCCATCATTACACGACCACCCATGAAGGAGTTAATGTTCTGGGCAGTTCCCTGAATAACAGCACCAACGATCATGATGACACAACCGATAATGATTGGCATTTTCCGGCCATAGTTATCAGCTATGAGAGGGCTGTAATATGTCAGAACATATAACTAATTTCGTATCGCCGCGGCGCAGGAGAAGATAATTGGGGCTTACACTAGGGGAATCGAGCCTAAGCTACCAATCTGGTATAAAGCAGCAAGGAGACCGAGTTGCGATCCTTGTGGGTTGTTGAAGAAAGCCTTCCACTTGTCGAACACTTGCACCGAGTTGAAGAACGAGCTATAAGTTTGTCAGTTGGCATTGCTCACCACATCCGAGAGGGTCTTGCGTATAAGACATACCCGTCGTAACCAGTAGTCGCCGAAGCAACGCAGAGTATGAAGCAGTAGAAGTATAGCTTCCTCAAGCCGGGGTCCCTTTTCCAGTCGACCCTCTCAAATTCCGGGGCCTCCTCCTGCGCATTCGCGATTTCCTCCTTACGCGGCGCCTTCTGCGAGATGATGCCGATCGCCATTGTATTGGTTGGTTGCGAACTTTCTTTCACGCCGCGCGAACGTAACTGGCGACTATGTCGAGGTGCTGCAACCTAAACTAAAGGGAGACTCTTGCTGGTCCTCCGGTGAGGTTGAGGCTTACTGAAAAGCTTGGTCTCTTGAAGTTGAAAGGGCAGAGACGTGATGGGTCTACAGCGAGGTGCTCGAAACAAAGCTCGAAGGGACGGAGGGACCAGATATAATATATGATCTATGGGAAGACCAGGGGCCGTAGCAAGGGTACCATCTACATTGGACGGGCGAGCGGACCGGTAGAGGAGCTCACTTGAACGAATTGCTCCTAGCCCGTAGCCATCTCACTTCGTGAACGCGAGATCTGGAATGGGACCCTTTCTCATGGTAAGTTACCTCTTACATGTGTGGGTGGGTTGCGGGTCTTCCTTACCCCATTGCCCCCCCATCCCCTAGTCTTCCCCGTGGCGCCATGGCCCATGGGGAATTGGGACCAAGTAAGCAAACGGACCGGGGTGCGGGTTACTAGTAAGGGTACCCGTTGGCAATAGGAACTTGAGAACCGAGAGAGAGAGAAAAAAAAATCCGCATTTCGGTTAATGATTTTAATTCTGGATGCGCCGAGCACGAACGATCTGACCCGGCCGAGTTACAACGCCACCGCACATAATCAGGTCAACAACAACCCGTTTGGTATGACTTGCAGGTATTCTATATTGCTCGGTAGTATATTCGCATCTGTAATAGGTATATACCTTTGTCATAGGCCGTCATGCTACGTACCGTTTTGGTCGCAGTAGATCTTCTACCGTGCCTAGGATAATTCTGCGGGAGGGCAGCCCTCGCCGGTGTATCGACCGGCCGCCTATGTTACGATTTGATATGATAAACAGTTAGGTCGGCCGGGGGGCTTAGAAGCGCTGGAACTCTTCGAGAACGCATAACAGTACATCCTGGCTACCTATACATAGTACCATAGTACGGCAATCATAGATGCCGTGTGGTGAGTTCCTCAGCGAGCGAGCAGCACGATGCGAGTTGTCTTTGGTTGGATATAATCGATTTGCGGGGAAATACTCGACCAGTAACACCGATATCCTGGACCTGATCCTACCGCGGGACGTGAGAGACGAACTTGGTTTATTTGGGTTGTGTAAGTTAACCTATACCAAATGCATTCACATATGTAGTATTCCTCCTATTGGTGGCAATTGGGTGGCATCTGGATGGTGTACTATCATTCTAGCAACGACACCATTTTGGACAATACCTCTGTTTCATGATGATCAACCCATGCCCTCTTCAAATTGTCCCTACTGCAAATCCATTAACGACCTTTATGATGGTCTATTCTGATTCTGATTCTAGCCTAGACTAATTGGTTCCATGGTGTCGGAGACGGCCTAGAATATAATACCTTGACTTCTGTATTAGGCAGAATGGTTTAGAATGCAATTCATGCACGTCAGAATCGTTAGGAGAGTTTTGCGCGTGGGATAGTATAATACCAAAGCTTCGAGTCCCCTGTCGACGAGAACCAGAAGGATATTATGTACCTAAGTAAGAATCGGATTGTCATTGATTTTGCTAGACCCATAAGTCACACCTTGGCTAGAATAGATCAACCTATCGCTTATATGGCAAATAGAGGTTGCATCGCAGTGAAGCAAGAGAACTTCAGTCTTCGGTTACAGTTAAGCATCTCTCTATTACCGTATGCGTATATGTTCATGTGGCTAACGAATCTGACCACTGAGATCAGCTATACATAAAAACTCTTCGTCATTAGATGAATCCATTATTCAGAGCTTTCTGCTCGTCTATAGAGAACAGATTTGTATTGTTGGGATAGTGCTATATCTGACCCGAACTATCCTGCGGCGGTCGTAGCAGAAATTAAATTAACAACGCTTGGCATTCCGGCCCCCCCTTTCGATCTCCATTCTCCAATGACCCTCGCCCATCTTTGGATGCTTTCGACATTTCGACATGCCCTATTGGGTAGATTGCTAAAAAGAGCTAGGTAATTGTCTTCCATCCATCTGCCTATATGGTATTTTGGAGAAAGCTTGCGTTGGCTTACTTTACATACTGTATAATACGTCGTCCTTCCATACACACGATTACACCAGGAATTCGATACACCGGCAGTCTAAGAGCTTCAGACGGGAATGGAAGGAATACTAAGAGATTAGACGTAGCAAGGGGTTTTCGGAACAGTAATCAGCTTAGACCTGGTCAGGCGCTCAGCTGTTAGCCAGCAGATATCTCGCTTCGGGATAACGTCCCGCGAAGCCGGACAATTGGAGAAGTCGAGTTAAGGAAAGCAATTCGTAGTAGTCATTTTCGAGCCTCAATACGAATGCAGCTCTAGTAGCTAACGCCTCTAGTAAGCCACATGGCACTTTTGTTACGGCTCATTGTCCTAGTTGGGATATCGTGAGGTCTTGGTCAAGTGTCTATGTAAATTGAAAGACGGGTTCTAGCTAGCCTGGTAGACTCCGGTTGCTATCGTTGTCATTGATTTTGACCGATATAGGATGATGCTACTTGAATGCGGTGTAAGTGAATTGCTATTGTACCTCGGCGCGCCGGTTCCACCAATGCAGCCAGTAATGCGACTACGTAGGCGCCGGGTTCCAATCAGGCTGCAGATCCTCGTGAGTTGTTACCAGCTGTAGTAGTAGAGCGTCTCTAGTTTGCCCCAGATCCGGGGAATTGTGACGCTAACTTGTAGAGGTGTCCCCCGTGGGAGCCCCGGGTTTCTCGAAGGAGTGGCATTACCGGACCGCTCTGACGACTCACGAGAATAACACGTCACCGCCAGCTGAGCCGATAGCTTCAGAAGGAGCTGCTAGCGGCGTTCGTTATAACATGTAATCGTCGAGCCATGTGAGATCATCAACGAGGCGGCGAATTTGTGCTTCTCATCCGCCGCATAATGTATTTTAGAGGATTAATCGCTCGATCTGATACGTTAATGCTAAGCAAGTATTCTTGAAATCTTGGACCCTCAGCTGCCCGTTCTGAAATCTAGACCGGTGGATCATCGTGGACGAGTTGAGGATGAAGACATTTAGCCTAAATGCGGCAGAATGCCTGGTCGGTAATTTGCCGGGGCCCCATGTAACAAATGATCAGGGGTCATATTGGCGGAAGCTTCCGGGGCAACCCACGCTTTGCTAGGATTGCGGGATGGTGCAGTTCTGAGAACTATGCCATGTAGCACATGCCAGCCTCGTAAGCTAGCTCGACAAACTCATCTATGATTAACAAAAGTACTGGCGGATGAGAAAGCCGTAGAAATAGCTAGATATTTGTTAGCGAGCGTCAACGTGGTCCTTGGTGTTCAATAGATTAGTTCGCTACCGCTCAGAATCTCAGACTAACAACCAAATCGAGCCGTTACAAGAAAAGACGATCTTACAGTATATACTATCATATAAGTCATCACCGCAAATCTATTCGAGTCCTAGCCATCAGATGTACTTCATTCACTATGTGATTGCCATGAAGGGGGTTGCCATGTGGTCTCTACTAGCTTGGTGTCTATAGGTTGATCACCAATGACCCGGAAACCCGGACAGATGAATAAGAGGCGACTGTCCCTATCAAAGAGCCTCTCTCCGGGACACCGGATTTAGGATCTCGGTCTAGGTCATACTTGGTTCAAAGCAGATACTGAGATAGTTGACGCAAGAGAGAGCTGAACTAAGTGCTATGACTGATTGGCCGCCTAGCATGCGCTCTCTTATTCCCATGTGTTTGCTAATGAGGTCTATTTTCGTCGGCTGCATAAATCAAGCGGCGCAATTCTCTCGGTTATGGGTTATGGGCTCGAACGCATTCAGCCTGACAGCAACAAATATCCGTCGAGCCCACATGGCTCCCGGTATGCGGCGGTAGCAAAGAGCATACCCATCGAGCATAATTCGCTCATGGCCTGCATAACTTCCGAATATCAAATAGACCGAACAATTGCACCGAAGAGTGGATTCTGCTTTTATTACTCCTGTTGAACGCCAGTCAATGGGTAATGCATTTTGAGGTATATCGCCTCATGTCTATCCGATCCGGAACGCCGGCTCGCCATAATCCAATCGATCCCTTATTGTACATTGTACAGAGATTTTCCTAAAAGTGATCACGATCTTCTTCACTTGTGGCACATTGCCTCTCTATACTTGGAACCCGAAGCCAGCCATGCATGTTCGGTACTGATCTATGGTCGTCTTGCAATCGCTGGTGGGATCGGCTGCCTTTGAGAACAGCATACATTCGTCGCGCTTCGACTTTTCATCTTTACAGACACAGCATGGCTGATGGGTATACTAGTTAGTATAATTGCGATAAATGAAGATTGTTGCATTCATACTTTCGGTTTCGACGTTGCAACCGCTTGGGAGCCGGGGCTCACGACAGGCTTGATCTCAGAGTTGGAGACTGAAGCTATGGTAAGTATTGAAGTTAGCAAGATATGGTACCTAGCTAACAACATATGTCTAAAAAGCTTCCTTACGCATTGAGATACTTTGCGATGCCATTGTGCTTGTGTTCTTCTGTGTTTAGAGTATGTAAGGAACTTGCAGATATGTTGATGATTTAAGTAGGTATTCTGAACTTTTGTCGCGGGATGTAGCGGAACTGCCAATTAGTGATTCAAAAAAAAAGATGGAATGGTATGACGCGATTTGTAATTGACAGTCGATTACCTAGGTAGGCACAAAGATAACCGATAAGATACTGTCAGAACTATGTATTCACACAGCCATAGGTTAATCTTTATCTAAATTCCGATCTTTGTGGCGCAACATTACCTAGCTCTATCGTGGATGATGCCAAAAGTTCCAAGATTCCTTTTTCGGAATTAAACAACATGGAATCAGGATCTTCTAGGCCCTAGATGGCCAAGTCACTGCTTTATTTATCATGCTATCCGCTATGCTTCAACTAGTTCTTATTACCGAAGAGCATGCACTTCGCTCTATTTAATTAGCAATATCGTATTACTTTACAGGTGTAAACGCGTACAGATTCCTTCTAGATCCTGTTTTGTCTTCTATGTACCTCCAAGTCCAAGCCCAACCTGTTATAACTTCATTAACTTTGGCATTGGATTGCTATGCTATTATAGTAAAGTACAATATATCGTGTAGTCTTAACATTTCTAGGTTATAGCACCTTGTTTTGGAATCATGAGGCGCAACGTGAAAGAGCTTCTAAAGAGTAATAGTTGACTTAGGAATATACTAGGACTAGTCTCGCTAGAATTATCGAGTACGATCTCGTATCGATTTGCTAACGGTCATTTCCGCAATCATCCGCCAGCAAGCTATTACAATCATAATGTATTTACCACCATTATGGTTGGTTACCAGCTAGAGGGATAGCTGAACCAGCCTTGACTGCTAGTTAGTCTAGGCATAGCCAAACTCCACAGCGGTTAGAGGCGATGTGGGTACGAAGACAGGGCATATCATAGTCAAATCGAAAGAACATTGCATTCGATACACACTACCGTCTATTCAATCTCAAAAGACCCTTCCTTCGAGGCTTCTGTTCAGTGTTCTAGTCTCTTAGACTTACCGCCATGCTCATATAATATATTGGACCTGCCATTCGGTGGCAGAGAAACTTTCAATTTTCTTTCATCAGCTTATCATCTTATGTGATACTTTGAGCTATTCCATTCCGTTGCCGACGAAGCCGAACTGCCTGAAACATTTATACCAGGAATTAAATATGGCTACGAGCCTCCGTAATGCGCTATTAGTCGCACTTACAGCTACACCTACGATCCAATCCGTTACGCCAGTTCCAGCAGGTGTTATTAGCACGTCAAGTCACATATTACGCGCTCAGCAAACATGCACAGGCGATGTAAAGTGTACCTGTGAGGTACTTCGCGACGTTTTAACAGACGTAAACGGAACCTTACTCCCTTCAGACGGAGCTACATATAAAGATATCGAAGATGAAAATTAGTAGGTTGTTTCTCGTATATACTGAGACACCCAGAGGACTAACTCATTCCATTTACAGTTCTGCAGCATGTAGGCTGCCGGCTGCGTGTATTGTCAGCCCGAAGAACGCACAGGAAGTCTCTACGGTAGTAAAGATACTCTCTCAGAACGGGGCCAAGTTTGCAATTAGAAGTGGTGGTCACAACTACATTCCAGGCTTCGCGAGTGTCGACGAAGGGGTTCTAATTTCGCTTTCAAGCTTAAACTCAACAGAGTTGTCAGAAGACAAGAAAACCGCCAAAATTGGGCCTGGGAACAGATGGCAGGCAGTTTACGAGGCCCTTGTGCCCGAAGGCCTGGTCGTGGTCGGTGGGCGTGTCGGTCCTGTCGGTGTTGGTGGGTTGATGCTCGGGGGTGAGTAAACCATGCCAATTATAACAGAGGTATCCTGGAATAGTCGAAACTAACAAAAATAAGGTGGGCTAAGCTACCTTGCAACCCAACGTGGCCTTGCTTTTGATAACGTCAAATCGTATGAAGTGGTTCTAGCTAATGGGACCATTGTCACCGCTTCAGCTGACAACGAGTATTCGGACCTGTATAAGGGGTTACGAGGTGGCACCTCTAACTTTGGTATAGTAACAAGTTATGAGCTTTACACATACCCCGTTGGGGACTTCTACGTCGATGCCCGCGCCTATAGTCCGAACCAGACCACTGATTTCCTACACGCCGTTGCCGAATATCAGAAGGAGGGACAGTTAGACCCATCGTCAAGTATTAGTGGTACGTATAACCCAACCCGACACGCGAACCTAATTCTATAATCGAAGCTAATATAAGAATAGTATGTGACAAGACCTTTTTGCTCATGCCCCTTCTCTTCCTATATAAGATATTAACATGTAATAGGTCCAATTACTAGAAAGTGGCCCGACCATTCTTCTACTCTATAGCGAACCGGTGCAACAAGCTAAAGCATTCGATGCCTTCTACGCTCTTGGGACGTACCAACCAATCGTACCGGCATTTAATGGTTCACTCTTGGATATTATGGCTTTGACGGGATCTCGATTCTCAACCGGCGAGATACGCACGTATGGCGAGACATTCAGCCACAAGACAGACGCTGACCTCATGGTCGAGTTATATAATATCTTTACTGAGGAAACGGCTAGCCTCCCTAGCGGCGCTTCGGCGGTTTGGGTACCAAATTCAATTGCAGCTAGTGTAGCTACGCTGGGGAAACAACATGGTGGGAACTTGCTAGGTTTAGAGGAGGTCTCGCAACAATGTGAGTCTACCATTCCCCTTTGTCGTTTATTTAAACTAGGTACTAATAGAAACCTCCAGGGTATGAGTGGTACATTACATGGACAGACCCAACGCAGGACAGAGCCATATGGGATATCTCCCAGCAAATAACTCAACGTTGCACAGACGCAGCCAAAGTGAAGGATTTGCTTTTACCGTACCTTTTCATGAACACCGCGGGCAAGACTCAGGGCGTATTGAATAGCTATGGCGCGGGAAATGTCGAATCCATTAAGGCGACAGCAGCGAAATACGACCCTGAACGAGTGTTCCAGACGCTCCAGAATGATGGATTTCTCGTTCGGGACTTATAAACGTAATAGCTTGTGTGTTTGGGTTTGGTTTGTACATTGAATTTGAGCGGTGTGTATATAGACTAGAATGCCTCGGTGCAGAGTATATGCGAATAAGTAGAGTACCTAATAATTAATAATTGTATCAGACCTTCAGCTAAGGCTGTGATCTGTCAAATCTCCGTATCGCACCGAAACACCAAAATAAGCAATTAAAGCTCATCAAACATGACACTAAGTAGCTGTTACTACCTAGTAACTAGATAGTTAAGCGGAGCAATGCTATACTTGTACTGTTGAGTCGGCCGAACTCGAGTTTTAAAAACGGAGTCGTTTCTATACCTATAAGATAACTAACGGGTATCCAATGTGTGATTGTAAGCTACATTTACTGGTGCAGAGTGATTGTTATTAGGAGACAAAGGGTCATCGGTTGAATTCATCTTCGCTATTACACAATTTACCTAAGTTAAGATGAGGTCAATCGAAGAAATCCGGGCCCTCTCTGACCTGGACCCTGAATTAACCCAAGTAGGTTTACCTACAACTCGAGCTACTTTCGCTCCCTTATTTCATATTTGCAGATTAGCTTACTACCTATATATTGTCCAGCTGGTCCAGAATGGTCTTATGCTACCGCCTTCGTGGAATAAAGATACGGATGTGCATGAGGTTCGCACTCTGCTGTCCCGACTAGTAGGTGCATAGAAACAAGAAGCTGGGACAGATTCGCTAACCGAGGAGTATATCTACCAGGTTCTGACGCGGGATGGAGCATATATCACGGTGCGCGTATATAGTTTGCGGGAATGGACCGCAGATGGTAGTGGTAGACCTGGCATGTTGAATATCCGTTCCTAGGACTGGTTGAAGATACGTATGACGCTTTGACATGGGTTAGTTTTTATACTCCCCGTTATCGTTATCTCTTCTGCCTAGGTATCTCCCACACCTAGGTGTGTTGGGAAGCGGAGAGGAGAATATTATATATCTAAAATATGTTTGTAGAGGACTAATGGTTGTGTATGTATACGGAGTAGGTCTCTAAGAACCTTAAGAACCTAGGAATCGACCCGATGAAGGGGCTTCTAGTCGCAGGCGAGAGCTCAGGGGCGAATATAGCTTTTGCAGCGACGTACCTCTGGATTACGCAGAAGAAAGATATCGAAATACGGATCACGGGGGTTTATAGCGGTGCGAACTCAGGGGTAAGCGCGGAGACAGTGCCCGAAAAGTATCGACCCCTTTTCGTCAGTATGGAGCAGAATTGCCAGGCGCCTGTCATGGATACTCAGGCCGTCGAACGTATTAACGGTAAGCATTTTATTACAAAAGGAGAGAGAAAACTAAAATAGGGGAATTATTATGCTGAACTAAACCTGTGGTGTCCGCAGAACTCTATAAGCCTGGCCCGAAGAGTCCTCTCGCGTATCCGATAGCTATCCCTGATCCCTCGATCATGCCGCGGATTTATTTCCAGGCATGCGGACTTGATCCTACGAGGGATTGCACATTGGTTATGGAACAGGTCTGGAGAGATGCTGGCGTGCCTACGAAGCTCGACGTTTATCCCGGAATGCCGCACGTTTTCTGGGCTTTGGGTCTCCCTGCCTTAGAACAGACTACCTAAGGAAATATGAAAAAGATACTCGGGAAAGGCTTGAATGGCTGTTGAGACCAAGCCAGTCTGGGGAAACTAGATACAACTCTTATTCGACGCATTAGGTGTATCTATAACGTTCTCTTCTTAAATAGACTATGTATATGTCAGTTGAACACAGCTTAAAAGCCCATAACTAACAAAATAGGTCTACATGTGGCGTCTAGCAAATGAGTATGAAGAAGTGCCGTATAAGAATAGGGGGAGGTGAAGAAGTATATGTTCACTTAGTCGATATTTAATCCTGACAAAACGGTCCCATCCTCCGTTTAATCGCATACTATTACCGTTTCCCCCTTACCCCGCCGGCTACCGTTAACGCAGCACCTGTTCATTTGTGGCACGGTTCAGATATAGACACTTGCTCAATGTACCGGATACCCCAATTGAAATAAGCAAATTCCGAAAGTTTCACCGCTTTCCATTTTGCCATATAATAAAATATATTAAATAAAATTCGGAAAAAGTATATTTAAATATTATAAATATTTTTAAAACTAAGTTTAAAGTTATATTACGTAAGGTTATTTTATTTTATTTTATTTTATTTTTATAAAAAAGTAAATATATTTTTTTTATAATATTATAATATTATATTTAAATAAAATATATTAAAAGTTTTTATTAAAAATTTAAAATAATATTAAATAAATAAAAGAAATTTTTACGTAAATAATATTTAAATATTTATTTTATTATATAAATTTATAAATAATTATTTATATTAAATAAAATTATTTTAATAATATTTTAATTTTAATTTTTAATTTATATATAAATTTATTAATTTATTTATTTATTTATTTATTTATTTATTTATTTATTTATTTATTTATTTATTTATTTATTTGTTTATTTATTAATAATAAAATATATAAATGTAATAAAATTAAAAAAAATTTAAAAACTTTAATTAAAAATAAAATTATAAAATAATTAAAATATAATATTTTAATATTATAAAAAATTAAAAATAAATTTATATATATTTATATTAAAATATTAATAAAGTTATTGTATATTATGTAATATAAAAAATAAAAAATGATAAAATAATTTAAATAAAATAATTTAATTAATTATATTAAATTATATAAAAAAGTAAAAAAATGGTTAAATAAAAAAAATATTTATTTATATATATATAAATTAATTTAAAAACAATATGTTTAAATATAATTTTAATTATATAATATAATTATATAATTAATATTTTATTAATTTATGACTTTTTAAAATATATATAATATTAAATAAATAAAAATAATATTAATTTAATAATAAAAAAAGATTTTATTTAAATAATAATTTATTAAATACAAAAAAAAACGCCGTATTTATTATATAATAATTACATTTTATATATTATATAATACATTTTTTAAATTATTATATATAATAAAATTATTTAAAATTATAACATTTTAACATTTTTAAAACTTTTTATAATATTAATTTATTTTAACTTTTAACTTTTTAAAATTTTTAATATTATAATATATTATTAATTATTAATAAAACGTATTTTTACTTTTAACGTAATAATTTTAATTAATTTTAATTTTAAAAATTTAAACTTTTAATTTATTTAATATAATATTATATAATATTTTTAAATCGATTTAAATTTAAACTTTATTAAATTTAAAATTAATATAATTATTAAATATAAAAATTTATAAATATTATTATTATATAAACCGGGATTATAATTATTAAACATAAAAAATAACGTTGTAATTATTATATAATAATTACGTTTTATATATTATATAATATAATTATATTATTTAATTATAATTTTATTAATATATATATATATATTTTATATTAATTTTACATAATTTTTAATTTTTTAAAATATACGGTTTTTAATAATTAATTTTATATTTAATCATATAATTTTAATTTATTTATTTAATTAATTTTTTATTTTTTCATTTTTAAATAATTATATATAATTAAATAATAATAATATTTATAATTAAATTAAATTAAATAAATAACCGTATAAAAACCCGTAAAAAAACCGTAAAAAAAGCCGTAAAATAAAATATATAATAAAAATATTATTAAATAAACGGTATAAAATTTAATTAATAAAAAAACATATATTTTATTAAAAAATATTATGTAAAAATTATAATATATATATAAAAAATAAATATAAAATATAATAAAATATTATAAAATTTATATGGTAAAAATTATACTTTTAATTTAATTTATTTTAATTATAATTATTATTTAAATAACTTTTTTTTTATTATTAAATTAATATTATTTATAAATAATAAAAATAATTTTATATAAATAATATTTAAATAAATATTATATTATTATATTATTAAATATTTATTTTATTATTAAAATATTAAATTTTCATATAAATTAAATAATAATAATAACAATTAAATAAATAATTATATAATTATAATTATATATATTTATTAATATATATTTATATTTTAAAAAACTTTAATAAAACTTTTTTAATTAAATTATATATTATTTATTTAATAATTTTTTTATTTTTTTATTTTACTTTTATATTATATAAATTAAATTTAATTAATTTAATAATAATATAAAATTATTATATAATAATTAATTTATATATTATATTTAATAAAAAATATTAATAATTGTAAAATAAATTATAATAAATTAATATTAAATAAATATAAAATAAATTTTTTAATTTAAATTTAAAATAATATATAAATTAATTAAATAAAATAAATTTTAAATAATAAATATTAAATAATTATAAAATAATTAAATATAATAAAATTAAATTTTTTTAATTTTTTTTTTAATTAAAAATAAAAATTATTTATATTAATTAAAAATTAAAATTAAAATTAATTAATAAAATTATTATAATATATATATATAATTAAATATATTTTTTAATTATATTTAATTTATTATATTTTTTTTAAAAAAATATATTTATTTTTATTAATATTATTAAATTATATTATAAATTAAAAATATAAATTAAAAAAATAATATAATAATAAATATTTATAAAAATATTTATAAAAATTTATTAAATATATTTAAAATTATATATATATATATAAAATTAAATATTAAATTTATTTATAAAATATTACATAATATATTATAATATATCATTTTTAATATAAAATTTTATTTTTTATTTATTTTTATTTTTAATATTATTTTATTTATTTATTATTAATTAATTAATTTAATTAACAATTATAATCTTTTTGTCGCGTTCCGCCACGTTTCAATTGAAAAAATGGTACAATGTCCAAAAGTCACAAAAGTGCGCGGGATCTTGCAGGAACAGGTGCTGCGTTAACGATACCGACCCCGCCAACCCCACCAAAACATATTCTTGGGGTTTGGCCTTGGAACAAACGTAACTTGTAGACACCCGTAATTCCAACATCTAGGCAGCTACTTAAAGACTTCTCCTATTTAAGAAGCAGAAATCATACTACCCTTGACCGACTGTTCTTACTAGTCTTCACTCGTTCGCCTCAAGAAAAAAAAACCCCCCCCGGAAAATCATCTACATATATACCATCTTACAACTAGCAGACCTAAACAAACGACAATGCCGGCCCCATCACCCCTCACCATCGCCACGCAGTCCGTACAGCGACTCGTCAAGGAAGAAAAGTACTACCGAAAGGAGCTCACGCAACAGTCGGAGCGCGTCAAGAAGCTCGAGGCAGACCTGAAAGAGGCGGGTGAAGACGCAGATAGCAATGCCGGATTCGTCCTGAAGCAAGAGGTATGCTTGAATCATCCTCAGCTCCTTTACTCCCAGGAAGCTAGATCATAAAGCTATTGGTACATAGCTTGTAAATATATGTATGTATCAGTGCGCTAACAACTGAATTGTAAATGCACAGCAAAAAGCCGTAGACGAAACCCGAGCTATCTTCGCCCCCCTAAACAAGCGCATCGAAGAAGCCGTCCAACGACTCGAGGAACAGATCGCAGCAGCCGAGAGCGAGAACGCACCTGCTGACGAAATAAACAAGGCCAAGGAAGCGCTGGAGCTGGGAAAGTCGGTTGAAGAACCGCCTGTTGCGTGAGGGGGGAGCTGTCCGAGGTGAACTCATGGACTACGACGCGAGCGTGTAGGATTACGAAGAGGAATGAATTAATACAGTGATACCACGGTTCCTACCAAGAGAGAGCCGTAGAAGCTCGTTTTATATTATTGTCCTTGGGAGGTGGATCTACCCGAGTAGCATAAAATCGATAATCGATCATCCCCCTCCCCTCTCTATTAGTCTAGTCTTGTGCCATTTTGCTCGCTGGGTATACTTCCTCCACTCCTGTAACACGGATGTGCGTAATGGACTATCATAGATGATAACTCCAAGATGAACTACAAGACTACTGGTCCCACCCATAAGTGCATATTCCCTCCTCTCCGGTCCGTAATGTCGTTCATGTTATATCCATGCTATCGCCATTACCAGCACCAGGCGCCTCGACCGTAATCTGGGGTGTCTGCGATGCATCTTCCGCCATAGGGGTATCAGCTTGTTGGTTCTGTTGCGTCGACTCGCCCATCTCGACATCCTCACCCTCTTCCGGCTCTTCTCTCGGATTTTGGCTTCCTGCCCGTTGACTCGGGGCCTGGCTCCCTGCTCGTGAAAAAGTTCCGCTAACATCGAGTCGCGGCTTCAACCCGGCAGGGCCTCCGGCACCAGGACTGTCAGGTCTCGGGGTTCTTCCACCTCCAGAGACAGCACCGCTATCAGGATGTGGCGTATTGTTCCCGCTGACAAGCCCGCCCTTACCAGGTGTAGCGGCAGCCTCTCCATCCTCCGCATCCGAATCCATGCCTTCTCTGCGCTCCACTTCTTCTTTCTCGTCTCGGATCAAAGCACGTAGCCTCTTACCCTCTTCAACCAGACGCTCGAACTGCTCGCGGCGGTCTCGCCATGTAGCCCCATACGTCTCGCTCTCGCGGTGCAAGTCCTCACACTCCTCGGCCAATTTAGCCAGGTTGGTGGCCTGCTCCGCGCGCGGGCGCAACATACGGTTATTCGTGATGCGGTCGGCTAGCTCGTCGAACTTGCGGCGCTGGGCGAGTGTCGCGCGCGCCTCATCGAGTTGCGCCTTCAGCCGCGCGTTGCCCTCCCGCACCGACTCCATCGTCTCCAGGATGCGAATCCTATCCGCCGCGTATCGTTCGCGCTCCTGCACGTTCGCCGTTCCCAGAAGTTGTAGTCGTAGGATCTGCGCGTCGAACGCTTCGAAGTCTAGCATGATGTCTTCTTTTAGCGCGCTGATATCAATTGCCGGTGATGCGTTTGCTTCGGCATCGTTGGTGCCGTCGGGGGGAGGTGTGGGCAGCTTCCCGGGACTCGTGAAGGCGCCGGGCGCGATGAGGCGTTTGGTAAGGCGCTTGAAGGGCTTCTCTTCTACATTGAGGAGACGGATTTTATGCAGCTCATTTTCTTCTCGCTCCTCTAGGAGGCCGAAATGAGAGGTCGCCATGGTTTCGTATTGATGCTGATGAGGGGTGCGAAGGAGGTAGGTAGGTGATAGCTGGGGGGTATAGTTGTTTCGATGTTGAAATTGTAACAATGAAGATTGATAATGGAGCTTGGGGGTTTGGAAGCTGGGAAGTCAAACGCGGCTGCAGCTGGCTTATCGATATTCTGTCTGTATCGATAAGTGGATGGTATTCTTCTCAATGGAAAGGTTGCGATAGATGCATGTGATAATTGCCTAAGGTAATAAGTACTGTACGGTATAATATTATAATTCCTTCTATGCCGAATATACCTTTTTCTACATCTCGACATTCAATGTACAAAAAAGAAAATGTTAATGTTTCCGGCTTGTTACTATGCATTGAAAACAGCTGGGGAAATCTGTAGCACAGTGAATGGCAGAAAATGGAATAGTATGAGTCTTTTTACTATGTCCTTCCACCATGACTTTTTACAAACCTGATGCATCCTACACTTGCCACATGTTATAAAATTCCGGAGAGCATGAGGATCATCTATCGTCACGCCTTAACTAAATTTCTAGCTCTTCGCCTTTCGTCTTCGTTGAGAACCCACTGGATGCCGTCCTCGTCCTCGTCGTTGTTCAGCTCTTCCCATTCATCTTCTTCCATATTAGCCACCATGAGTATCTGTGATACTCTCGCAAACATCTCCCTCACAGAGTAGTTACCTCGAGCAACAGTGCTGATGATGCCCGAGAAATCCCGCTCCATTCGTATTGCCCCATACGCGCTAGTCTTCCCGCTATAACTCCACACCCTTTTTTCAAGTGTCTTAGACAGATCTGTCGCTGTGAGGTCCATGAGCGCCGTGAATGTTTTCGGGGTCATGATTCGTGCTATAGGTTTCATCAGCGTATCCCACCCATTTTCGAATCTTCGCTGGACACGATCTATAACTTCGTCTTCGTCTTCGTCATTTTGGCGCGCGATTTCTGCCAATTCATCTTCAGAGCGCCAATAATCAGCATCGCGGAAGGCTTCAACTAGTACTGGTTTTAATCTTTGTTTGATAACGGCAGAGAACAAGACTCTTAAAGCATCAGATATCAGTTCGCTAGTCTTAAGCCCGAACGTAGAATGTAACGTGTTTAGTGCTGTAGTTACGAAAGTAACATCATGCTCGAACGGGAAGGACGCGGCAAGGGGGCTAGATTCTGTTGCTCCATTGGGTTGATCAGGGGAAGTGCCTAGTTGCGATGTAATGATGCGGTCTAGATAGTCTTTCGCAACATCTAGACTGTTGATAAGCACAATGAAAGAAAGAATCTTGTTTTCAGGTGGTAGCCCCCCTTGAACAGTTGGCTGCGGATATGATTCATCTCGCATCCTCCGCTGGACCATTCCAATAAAGTCTGATCCTAGTACCCTCCCGACATCTGGAATTACTGAGGCGGCTACATCACGTTGCGCTGTTGACATAGCCTTCTGAATTATTGCGCTGACGATATACATAACATCGTCAACGGCCGAGATGATATAAGGGGCGTTTCCATCGATAGGCTTGTTAAGATTTAGGGAAAGACCCATAGGTGATTCGTCCAGTTGGAACGCCTTTTCAACAGATCGTCTAAAAAAGAACAAAGCCAAGGAATTGTAAGGTGATGTTAGCTTTGATGAGATCTTCCGACCGAGATTGGATTTTGTGACAACCTCAGGTATTGATAGAGGTGCATCTTCAGGGGTATCGGGATTCTAATTAAAATTAATTGTTAGAACAACAAAACTCGATTAGAAATACTTACTCTGCATTTGCTAGCAAGGAACTTTGAGTATAACGACCATCGGCCAAGCATGATTGAGATCTCGCTAAGTAGAGCATCTACTTCTTTCATGTCTACGCCTTCATCCTCGCTATTCCGCGAGTTGGTACCGCCGCCTACCGCTGGAGAGTTTACGCGTGGAGTACCCGTAAGCGTCCTTTGCGGAGGTAGGAAGCTTTGTACTAGGAAGGAGAATGGATAACTTTTTGCGTCGGTAAGTTTCCTATCAACGCTTCTTTCGTCGCCCCACGAATCCAAAATAATACCACCTTGAACGTCAGCCTCCATCTGGAGTCTCTCTATGACTTTGACCATTTTGCCTTCACCGTAGTGCCTCTCTACGAGCCCACCATGACTTTCGACAATCTGGGCGATATGCTCAAAGAGCTTCGTAAGCGCGTTGGCGTAAAAGAACCCATCTCTTTTCCCTGCGTCGCCAGGTGTCGCCTTGAGAGTTGCCCTAGCTGTGCCGGCAACACCCTGACATACGTAGCGCCCATATACGTCTAATCCAACATCTCCTCTCCCTATTAAAGGGAACAGTTTGAAGAATCTTGTAATCTTGGCGCCGTCGCCTTCTTTGACTGCCTTCTCAAATTCTCGTAAGAACAGGCCGCATAAGCTTTCCTTTGCATTCTCAAGTGTTACCCAAGGCGCATCTGGCACCTCGACACTCGGTACCATGGAAGCCGCAAAGCCACCGCGTATAATAGGCTCTGGTACTTTGCTTGCGCGGGAGATATAGCCTGCTGCTGCTTCCCAGTCTTGGGGGGCGCCCATACTGCCCACTACTCCATGGACGCATGCTTTGAGTTCCGCGACCTGTTCAACAACTTTCAGTGTTTGCTGCACTCTGTCTTTCTCTAGGTCGAGCTCCTTAACCCGACTGGAAAGTCGTCCTGCAGTGTCGGCAGCCGATGAGAGCATCCCATTGCTTATGGATCTTGTCGCGATGACCTGGGAGCCGAGATTCGCACGAAGTAGATCGAGCCGGCCTAGCTCGCGGGATAAGTCGGCTTGGGAAGATAGAAGCGCATTAAGGCGATTAGTTATGCTGGTCTCGCGCACATGTAGGGCAGCTAGCCCAGCGCGGACGTCGGAAAGAGTCGAGGCATCGTGAATGGGGGAATTTGACGAGGGATTGTTTAGCTTATTAGAAGCTTTCTGCGTTGTTGACACCGTGAAGTTGCCATTGGGGATGTTGTTGGCGGACATTGGGACACTGGTTGTGGGAGGTGCATAGCGGCTTAAGATACTCAAGCCTGAATTACTGGACCTTGAACACACCTTTCCGTTGATGTGGGTAGAGATCAAGTTGATCCAACCAACGGGCGTTGTTCAAGGGTTGTAAGTGACGAATTTACGTTGTATTTCGTACGTCCCGCTAAATTGCTAATTGAATTGTTAATTGATAGGGCTTAGCGATAGTTATTGTTACACGTTTAGCCGCTAAAGGATAGGTACCGTATTGGCATTATATAAGTTTCAGGAATAATTCCTTATGTAAAGTATTATATTAGCTATAATAAAGGTTAGAATGAGAAATATGATATTTTACGAGATTATTATTCTTTTAAAAATAATTATTTTTTGTAAAAAAATAATTCTTTAAAATTTAAAGCTTTAATTAAATAGAATAAATAGGTTTTAAATTATATAACTTTACGTAACCTTAAAAAAGTTTAAAAATTAAAAAAGTTAAGATTTCTAGGACTTAAACCCTAGGTTTCTAGCTTTACTATAACATTTCCGCTAATGTAATATAGGAGTGTTTTAATTGAGCTAACGGCGTTAATGGGTGGCTAGTTTATTAATATTGTTAACAATTGGTTTGTTGTTAAATTTTATTATTTATATTTATATTTTTTAATATTATAATAATATATTAAGCCAATTAAAAAAACTATTCTTATATAAGTAAAAATATTTTATATAAAAATTATTTTACTTTTAAAATATAATATTTTAAAACTACATATTGCCGGTATAATACCTGGCTTTAAAGTTTTGGAAATTAAAATACCAAGTATTTAAAGTTTGGCTTATTTCGTAATTAATTAAAGCTATAGGTTATTTATTATACTGGCATTATATAGGTTTTAAAAATAATTTTTTATGTAAAATATTATATTAATTATAATAAAGGTTAAAATAAAAAATATAATATTTTACAAAATTATTATTTTTTTAAAAATAATCATTTTTTGTAAAAAAATAATTTTTTAAAATTTAAAGTTTTGATTAAATAAAATAAGTAGGTTTTAAATTATATAATTTTACGTGACTTTAAAAAAACTTAAAAATCAAAAAAGTTAAAATTTTTGGAACTTAAACCCCAGGTTTTTAACTTTACTATAATATTTTTGTTAATATAATGCAAAAATGTTTTAATTAAACTAACGGCGTTAATAAATGGTTAATCCATTAATGTTATTAACAATTAATCCGTTATTAAACTTTATTACCTATATTTGCATTTTTTAATATTATAATAATATATTAAGCCAATTAAAAAAACCATTCTTATATAAGTAAAGATATTTTGTACAAAAATTATTCTATCTTTAAAATATAATATCTCAAAACCATATATTGCCGGTATGGTAGGTATCTTAATCGATAAGCTTACCTCTGTAAATCTGCACTTTCATATCGTATATCGTCATTGTCGTTATTTGCGTATCCTGGTGCTTCTATGAGTCACTCACTAAAGTGAAGTTTCATGCATTCTCTCACTGGGTTGAATTTTATGTCAATCTTAAAAGGTCTTTAAGCTTATCAAAACTTTCCTACATACCAAATTTTTTCATTTTTTTTATATAACTCGACTAAAAACATTTCAATATCTGAGCAAGTTGGCGTCTGTAATTTCAAGTCGCAGATTTAAAACTGTTCGAGCTATTTTCAACTCCTACAGTACAATGTCTCAAGACCTCCCAAGGATGAACACACAAATTCTCAGAGTACCAGAGACAGAACTAGGGAAATTTAAGGATGGAAATGATCAGGAAAAACTGGGATTATGGGAGGTTTCTCAAAGCAAGTCACCTAGTATCAGAATCCTTAATGAGGCCGCACAATATCTGAAAACTAAGAATACGCCCGTTGCATTTCCAACTGAGACTGTCTACGGGCTCGGAGCAGATGCCACAAGAAGCGAAGCAGTAAAAGGGATCTATACTGCAAAGAAAAGACCATCGGACAATCCCCTTATTATTCATATCTCGGATCTAGAAATGCTTCGAAGCATTCTAACCCCTGAGAATGCTTCTAATGGCACAACTAACACAAGCAATGACCAAATACCTAAGATATACAAATCTCTTATAGAAAGATTTTGGCCGGGACCTCTAACATTGCTGCTCCCCAACCCAGTTTCGTCTAAGCTTGCCCCTGAAGTGACGGCCGGATTGAAGACTTTTGGTGTTCGAATGCCAAATTCACCCCTTGCTCTCTCACTTATCAAACTAACAGGCGCGCCTCTGGCAGCTCCATCAGCAAATGCTTCCACAAAGCCATCGCCGACTACTGCCGAGCACGTATTAGAAGATCTAGATGGCCGTATTGAGTTTATACTTGATGGCGGTCCGTGTTTCGTCGGGGTTGAGAGTACCGTAGTAGATGGTCTATGCGACCCTCCTTTGATCCTGAGGCCTGGGGGAGTAAGCATAGACGAACTGCGGAGTTGTCCTGGATGGGAGAAGGTTGAAAAGGGGTATAAGGACCAGAGTGAAATGGGCAAGTCTGCGCCGCGAGCGCCAGGCATGAAGTATAAACACTATAGCCCAAAGGCAACGGTTATTCTCTACGAGGCATCCTTCGCGGCGAGCTATAATGGCATACAAGCCCAGGACGTCAAAACCTTCATCCAAGGCCGGCAATCCCAGCAAATATCAGGAAACGGAAGTGATGGATTGCAGATCGGTATTATACGGACTCGACATTGGAAGCCCGCAGCCGGATTGCGCTGCGGCGACTTCAAAAGCGAGACTGTGAAAACACAAAACGGCCAAGAGAACCACTTGACAATTGAACTCGACGTTCAAGAAGCAGAACTCTATGATAGCACGACTGAAGCTCCGATTGGGAAGCTTATGGATGTGAGCATAGGGATGGACACCAGAAGCATAGCGCATGGACTTTTTTCGGCGTTACGAGAACTGGATAGGCGAGGCGCGGATCTCATATTTGTGGAGGGCACAGTAGACGATGAGGACATTGGCGCGGCGGTCATGAACAGGCTGCGCAAGGCAGCTTCTCAGATTAAGTCGTAGACCATAACCGGTGCGACACACCGCTCAGCTTAATGACATTCCGTTAAGAACAAATAACGACTTTTTACCAACGCCACGCCGGAGTCTACATTGAAGGTCATCTCGCAAGTCTCCACGCTTCGGAGAACTAGTCTCTTACAAGCCTTGCCTTAACCAATCTGTCAATTTGGCCTTTCCTAATTGCGCCAAATTGTTCACTCCTTGTTCGCTGAGGTCGATACGGCTGAGATTAACATCCTGCGTCGGCGCCTTGCTAACTCTCTGTACGATGATGGTCGGGTCAGTCTCTAAGATGATACCGTCATCCACGATCTCGTCGATCGCCAGCGAGACTAGATCGTAATTCTCGATTATCGTTCGCTTATCAACCGATTGCCTGCCCTTGGGTTAACTTGGTACCAGTAGAATCCCAGCTAGCGAACATACTTAAATAGGAGGTGTAGCGAATCCCTTAGGGCCAAGATGACGTTGTATAAGAGGACCTCGTTCTCATCCACACCACCCACGACATACATCATCACGTCGGACTCCATCTTATATAGTACGATCCGGTTGTCGTAGAGAATGATATCGCCGGTCTGCTTTGCCGTCTTTTCTAATAGACCCTTCTCGAAGGTCTTCTGCGACTTGACATCCGCGAACGGTCCGCCATGTTGGTGATGTGTGGTCGATGCTACTCGGGCTTCTCATCAGCGACTGCAACTTTCCAGAATCAGAATAAGTCAGACCTACAAGCTGTAGGAGCATGGTGGGGTGCATTGTAGTATTTCGCGAATATCCTCGAGCCGTCGTCGATGTTAAGGATGATGATGGCATTCACCGAGGACAAGGACATCCCAGGTGCCATCTTGAGAGCTGGATATTAGTATAGGGATATAATAGCTTGTAGTGTAGTAACGTAGATATTGAGGGTGTCCCTTAAGAATCACCAATTGTCTCTTATGATGCTAATGTCCGCTAAGGTACAGCGCATGTGGCATTTGATTGACTTGGAGAGAGAGATGGAGAAACTGTTTTAGCGGAGCCCGCGACAAGGGTAGTAGGTACATATGTACACACTAAAATGTGCATAACGCCGAATAATGTTGTGCAACAGTAAATAAAGTTACCAAGTACTATGTACCTGCACAACTTCCACTTTACGCGAAAAGTCGCGTTCCACCCCTTTTTGACGCGCTCCCGTTGTTGCCCCGTTTTACGATTTCTCCTAGGGCGCCTTGTATCACCCACTTTGCATATCTCTATCACATATCCCATCCCACTTCAGATATAGGTTCAATCTTCTCAATCACCCACTATCTCACCAACCCGTAATTTCTAAAATCTATCACGGGCTTCTCATCCTATATAACTCAAAATGTCTTCACCATCTAGCCGTCGTCAGCGGAGTTCGCAGGCCGGCACTCCAAGCCGAAATACACGAAGTTCTCAAGCCGCTCGTAGCAGTCCTGCCAATGGCGGCCCATCCCAAAACGGAGCGCAAGATGGCAATACTCTTGATATCGCTCGCCCATCACAGTTAGCTTCAAGTCCTCTGTTTTACCAGTCATCCCCTGCGAATGGGAACGACAGAAGTTCTCCCGCTTTAAGACATAATACCGATAGCCAGAGCACCATCCCCAACCCCGATGCTGCGCCTAGCTCACCGTTACGTCGTATGGGAGAAAGTGATGGCGATCGCACACCGAGGGCTAGATCACTTATGGGTGGTGAGTATAGTTTTATACTTGTCAAAGTATCCGGAGACCTTGACTGACTGATGCTTTAGAATCATCGCCCATCCGATACGAACCGAGCTCGAGTCCTGGTCGTGGTTTGCACCCGCAATCCGATCTTCGAAGCGAAAGTAGTAACTTATTTGTCGGTCCCTCTGATACCCCACGTGCCAACAGGGTAAACCGAAGAGGTGATATAAACTCGGAAATTTTCAGCAGTAGCGCTCGAGGTAACAGCCGTGTCATCTTAGACGATGCCGGGCGTGTGGTTCGAGAAATTCATTCTGATGCGGCAACATTCTCCAACTTGAATCCTAATACCTCCGATGCTGATGCTCTTGGCGGTCAAGACAATGCAACTATCTGGGGTACTACAGTGTCTATCGACGACACATATGCTGCGTTTAAGGACTTCTTACGCAATTTCACTAAGAAGTATCGCATGTGGGGTTCAGGAATGACAACCGAACAGACAGATGCTGATCCCGAATCAACCTCCAAACCGTATTGGGAGGAGCTTCAGAACATGCTGCTCCTCGGCCAACGAATCCTCTACGTCAACATTCAAGACTTCAAATTATACCCGCCTACTAGGAAAATATGGCACCAAATCCAGCATTATCCTCAGGAAATTGTACCGCTCATGGACCAGTCTGTCCACGACCTTATGATCGAACTCGCACAGGCAGAGACGGCGCGGCAGAGGAGCCAGAGTAACGGGGCATCGGCAACCCAACGTAGCGGTGTCCCTAGTTCCGACATGCAAGTCCCGAGCTCAGAGCGAAGTGAGGAACCCCAGCAGTCTCAGCCGCGTCCGCAGGGTCCTACCTTGGAAGAGAAGGTTATGGATCAGACCTATATGACCCGGCCCTATGGATTAGACGAAGTCATCAATTTGCGCAATCTTAATCCTTCCGATATGGACAAGCTCATCTGTATCAAGGGTCTCGTAATCCGGACAACACCCGTCATCCCAGATATGAAGCAAGCCTTTTTTAGGTGTAGTGTCTGCAGCCACTCTCTTCTAGTAGGCCTAGACCGAGGCAAGATTCGAGAACCTACCGAATGCCCGCGATATCTATGCAACTCGAAGAATTCTATGCAGATCATCCACAACAGGTGCGAGTTTGAGGACAAGCAAGTTATCAAGCTACAAGAAACGCCGGATGAGGTACCCGCTGGACAGACGCCACATTCAGTGTCAGTTTGTGTTTATAACGAGTTGGTAGATTTCTGTAAGGCTGGTGACCGCATCAAGGTCACAGGTATCTACCGTGTTAGCCCAGTTAGGGTTAACCCACGTCAGCGCTCTGTCAAGAGCATATTCAAGACCTTTGTTGATGTTGTCCACGTCGCCAAGGTCGATAATAAGAAAATGGATATAGATATATCTATCCTCGAGGATGGAGCCAACGACGAGGAGAATAATATCGAAGAGACCCGGAATATCAGCCCCGAGGAAGAAGAGAAGATCAAGGCTACGGCCGCCCGTCCGGATATCTATGAACTTCTAGCCCGGTCACTAGCTCCATCTGTCTACGAAATGGACGACGTAAAGAAGGGCATTCTTCTCCAAATGTTTGGAGGAACAAACAAAACATTCGAGAAAGGTGGTAGCCCGAAATATCGAGGTGATATTAATGTCTTACTATGCGGTGACCCGTCAACATCGAAGTCTCAGCTGCTCAAATATATTCACAAGATCGCCCCTCGTGGTGTTTACACTAGCGGCAAAGGATCTTCTGCGGTCGGTCTTACGGCGTACGTCAGTCGTGACCCTGAGACTAGGCAACTCGTGCTTGAATCTGGTGCTTTGGTCTTGTCTGATGGTGGCGTCTGTTGTATCGACGAGTTTGACAAGATGTCCGATTCTACACGTTCTGTTCTTCATGAAGTCATGGAGCAGCAGACAGTTTCAGTAGCCAAAGCCGGTATCATTACTACGTTGAATGCTAGGACGAGTATTCTGGCATCGGCCAATCCAATTGGGTCTCGATACAACCCCGACCTACCTGTTCCGCAAAATATTGATTTACCACCTACACTATTGTCGCGATTCGACCTTGTTTACTTGATCCTCGATCGTGTCAACGAGTCAGCCGACCGCAGATTAGCACGACATTTACTTTCCATGTATTTGGAAGATACTCCACAATCTGCTCCCTCAATTAATGAGATATTGGTATGTTTATACTACAATACCTCCTTTACTAGAAAGTGTAATACTGACAAATCCTTTAGCCTGTGGAATTCTTAACGTCCTACATCTCGTACGCTCGTACTCATATCCACCCGACGTTGACCCAAGATGCTTCGCAGGCACTTGTGGATGCGTACGTGAATATGCGCAAATTAGGACAAGATGTTCGCGCAGCAGAAAAGCGTATTACTGCTACAACGCGTCAGCTTGAGTCGATGATCCGCCTCGCCGAAGCACACGCCAAAATGCGACTCTCGCCGATAGTGACCAAAGCTGATGTTTTCGAAGCCGAGCGACTTATCCAGTCGGCGTTGAAGACTGCAGCGACAGATTCTCAGGGTCGCATCGATATGAGTCTTCTCACAGAAGGCACCAGTGCTGCAGAGCGGAAACGCAAGACCGAGCTGAAGGAAGCTATCCTACGTCTTCTGGATGAGTTGACCAGTAGTGGGCAGAATGTCCGGTGGAGTGAAGTCAGCAGACGTCTGAACGAAGGGGCGAGTGTTCCTATTGAACCTGCCGATTTTGCCGAGACTATGAGAGCGCTTGAAATGGAGGGATCTGTCATGATTAGTGGCGAAGGTGCGAGGAGGAGCGTGAGACGCGTCACTGGTGTTGCGTGAACTTCGCAGGGGAGGATGTTAAGAGGGATAAATATTCCCAGCCTGGTATTTTAGTGGCGGGGGTGATATAGCTGGGCAATACGCCTATACCCACTGGTGTTTTCAACGATGAATAAGTGTTCTGAAAATTGGGTACGAGATACGGGCTAGCAAACGAGTTAATGAAGGCGTAGATTAATAAAGTATAATGGCCTACGGGATTGTTTACCCAGTTGACTTACCCAGTTGACTACCATAAGTCAACTACCGTGTCAGCTATACTCGATTCTGTCACTCTGTTGCGTTAGAATTTAAACTGGATCCTGTTGAGCCTGTGTATTTACTTTCACATACCTATGACACTATGGACTAAAGAATAACTAGACTAAATAACTTTCCGACTATAACCGATCTATTGTCAACAGGGATTCACCCTTAAACTAGCAAACGATCTACTTTCTTACGTCTATATATGGAAGAGGAGCACAAAACACCCTCTCCAATACTCAAGTTACAACATGCAGAATATGCAGCTCAAGTCCAATTTTCCTAAATTACACCAAGTATCATTGGTGCACCGTGACGTCAATATTTCTCCTCACGTTTCAAAGAAATGGACCACAACAGGGCCGATATCGTGGGATGGACACGTTAGTACCTAGTGATTTTCCTCGCAGGTGCACAGGTGCATAGAGAATTCTCAACTGATATTCCCCGAGTATTCCCTCGTTTGATTCCCTTAACTAGATACAGAGTAATCCGTGCAGAAAATGGCTTACAACTCGAAAGACTTTTATCCCCGACCCGATTTCGTTCACGGCAATCACAGATGGACGCCCCTTAATGAGGGGTGGTCGATACTCTTCGACGACGACGATGTTGGGCTGAAGGAGGCATGGCAGATCAATGGTGTCCCAGACAAAGTGTCTGTCACGTCTTCTACTGACTCAATCAGCGAAGCTGAAGCTCAAAAGCTAGCTGCATTCCCCGAGCTCAAGGAGAAAGGATTTCAGGCCCCGAAGAGCCAGACTCGTGAGCATGTTAAAAAGCCCATTAATGTGCCCTTCGCCTTTCAGACACCCGCGTCCGGCGTCTTTGACAGCGACGCTCACGAGATTTTGTGGTACGAGAACACAGTAGTTGACCCGCGCGAAAAGGACGAAATAGAAGCCGGGGATAGAGTCCTGGCTCGCTTTGGCGCCGTGGATTACGATGTGACGATCTGGGCTTCGGGATATCCCGTAGGCCAGCACCGAGGCGGACACGTGCCTTTTGACGTGGACATCACTGATGCTCTGGCAAATGCCTGGAAGAATACCGGCAAGGGGGAATTGAACCTCATCTTGCGTATTCGCGACTCACCGCATGACCTTGCTCAGCCTCGTGGTACGTATAAGAACGTATTGGTCAGGCGATAGAAATATATCTTTCTCGGCCTTTGAGGTTCTGCTATCAAAACACTAATACTAGGAGGTAGGTAAGCAATATTGGGCGCCAAAGCCAGAGTCTATTTTCTACAAGCCCACCAGCGGGATATGGCAACCGGTTTGGTTAGAAGTTTTACCACCGACACGGATTGGCGACAGTGGGGCGGGCACAATATTGAAGTCCAATAACATTTCTGAAGGCCTGCTAGAAGCTACAGTGGCCGTTCTGGGACGGAGAGCTGGTCATGGGTATAGCGTTGAGATTGAGGGCTATCTTTACAGTGTCAGCGTAGCCAAGACGAAAGAAAATCTACCTAGCGACAAGGACTATGTTTCTATTAACCTCGGCTTATCTCTAAGCGACGATCAGAAGTCAAACGCACCGCCGACCCTTGCCCAGGACGCCCCCTACTATGATAGCCACTCCTGGCGCGGCACCTTAGCTCTGTGGTCGCCGGACCACCCAACTCTGTACGATCTATCTATTCGGTTATACGACTCAGAGGGCAAGCTTATCGATGAAGTCAAGACGTACACCGGATTTCGAAATATCGACTGGAACCGAGGCGACAGAACCTTCAGGTTGAACGACAAGCCACTCTTCCAAGCGCTAACCCTCGACCAAGGCTACTGGCCCGAGACAGGCCTCACACCGCCGTCACCTGATAGTCTACGGTTGGACATCGAGCTGACGAAGAAGATGGGCTTTAACGGGTGCCGAAAACACCAGAAGGTCGAGGACCCGGTCTTCCTGTACTGGGCTGATAGGCTGGGGTTCCTCGTCTGGGGCGAGATGGCAAACGCGTACGAGTTCAACGAAGACTACGTTGAGAGATTCAGCCAAGAATGGGTAGAGGCTGTGAAGAGGGATATTAACCACCCCTCGATTGTGACTTGGACTCCTGTTAATGGTATGCATGAAATGAGCCCTATGCCTATATCAGGTCTACATCGAGGGAGTTCACTATATAAATATCAGCTAACGTTTTCGCAGTATGTTGCTATATCTCTTACACGTGTATACTCACCATTTCTCTGTTTTATCGCCGCTTAGAGTGGATGTGTAAGGGAGGTTAGAAGTACTTCAGATGAGATATTAACTTGTAGCAGGAAAGCTGGGCCTATCCTAACTTGAAAGACAACATAGACCAGCGGAACCATATTCGGTCGCTCTACTACATGACAAAGTGAGAACTAAGCTAGATTCAGGTAATTAATATTCAAATACTAACAAATCGCAGGACGCTCGACCCGACGCGCCCCGTCAACGACAACTGCGGCTGGGAACACGTTATCACAGACCTAAGCACATTCCACGACTACTCAGACGCTCCGGCCCTATCCGAGACGTGCGCCACTCTAGAAGGCATTCTAGGCAAGAAGCTTGCCGACCGCGACTTCTTTGTCGGACCCCTAACACTTAAAGACGGGAGAACCGACAGCGGGACCAAGCATAGGGAGGGTGCTCCTGTCATATGTACCGAGTTTGGCGGCGTCAACATTGCGCCCGGGAAGGGAGCGGAAAGCGGAGATAGGGACTGGGGTTACACGACCGCGAGCGATCCGAAGGATTTACTAAAGCGTCTTGAGGCTTTGATGCAGGCAGTTGTTCAGGGGGGGCATATTTGTGGATTTGTGTATACTCAGCTGTAAGTCGTCACTACAAACTTATCAACCCGAGGAGGTAATCCGGGATGAAGGTGAGGGTTGCTAACGATTGACTGACTGGTTTAGGTCCGACGTCGAGCAGGAAGTCAACGGCTTATACTCATTCGACAGGAGGGAGAAGATTCCCGCAGATGAGGTTAGCAAGCTCATCGAAGCGGCGAGGAAGACGTACTTCGACAGCCTTCCTAAGGGGACCTAATGTCCTATGTTTTTTATGCCTAGATGGGTGGAAGGCGACAGGTTCTTCTCATGTTAATATTTGATGCTACTTAGATTTTTCCTTGGGAACTCGTGAGGGAAAACCGATCGAGTCGTTGACCAACTAATTTACATAGACGAGTTCCTAGCCACGGAGCTACACGCAAATATATAGTATATCAGTATCGATGAATTATCGTGATGTATTTCGTTGATCGTGGATGAAAGCTCTGGTTATCGACGTAAAAGTAGAAAGAACATTATATAGGAGTTGTTAACTACGGTATCCGTTAAGAACGTTAGATCAAACTGGTGAAATATAGAAACGGAACTATCTGACGTAATGCTACTTAATACCAGGTATTATGTAACTAGACAGAATACAAAAATACATCCAGTGGGGCGGATAAATGATAGGGCGATCCAATGACGAAGACATTAATTGTAAGTACATACACTACTTCGTATTGACCTCAACTTCCGAGAATTGTCGCTAAGTAAAGCTCCATATCAAACTCCCCAATATACCAATTGGCCATCACATAACGCAGATGGCGTCGCTATATCGCATTGTCGGCTGCGGCGCCAGAAGTCTGCAGCTTGCGAAGCCAACAATAAGGCCAGCAATACGCGCCTTATCGCAGACTTCCCTGCGCAAGGCCAACGAGTTACCTAACCAGCGCACCACCCTTCAACCCGTCGATCCCGATTTCGCCCACCCTTCGGATCCTTATGGCGTACAGCGCCTTCAGAACCAGGACGGCTCCGTCGAGGCCTCCCGCGAAGGAAGCATAACTGACCGAAAGGTCCGTCACTACACCGTCAACTTCGGTCCTCAGCATCCTGCCGCCCACGGTGTGCTTCGGTTAATTCTAGAGCTGAGCGGAGAGGAGATCATTCGATCCGACCCCCACGTCGGACTGCTTCATAGAGGAACGGAGAAGTTGATCGAGTATAAGACCTACCTACAGGCCCTACCGTACTTCGACCGATTAGATTACGTCTCTATGATGACCAATGAGCAATGCTTCACCCTCGCCGTCGAGAAGTTACTAAACGTAGAAATCCCGGAGCGAGCCAAGTTCATTCGAACTTTATTTGGAGAAATTACGAGAATTCTAAACCATCTTATGTCCGTTCTATCACACGCCATGGACGTGGGCGCTTTAACACCTTTCTTATGGGGTTTCGAAGAACGAGAGAAGTTGATGGTGAGTTTATTCTACCATTTATGATCTAAGTAATACAACGCAAATAAGAAAGGTTAAAACTAATGGAAATCTCATCTTATAGGAATTCTACGAACGTGTATCCGGAGCCCGTATGCACGCCGCATATGTCAGACCCGGCGGTGTTCACCAGGATATTCCATTCGGCCTTCTAGATGACATCTACCAATGGGCGACGCAATTTGGCGACCGAATCGACGAGACCGAGGAAATGCTAACAGATAACCGAATCTGGATCCAAAGATTAAAGGGTGTCGGCGTGGTTTCCGCTGAGGAGGCTCTTGCTCTTTCTTTCACTGGCGTCATGCTGCGAGGTTCGGGTATACCGTGGGATGTACGTAAGAGTCAGCCATATGACGCATACGATCAGGTCGAGTTTGATGTTCCCGTTGGAGTTAACGGTGACTGCTATGACCGATACCTGTGCCGAATGGAGGAGTTCCGCCAGTCTCTCCGAATTATCCACCAGTGTCTGAACAAGATGCCAGCCGGTCCTGTCCGAGTCGAGGATTACAAGGTATCGCCACCCCCGCGAGCAGCCATGAAGGAGAACATGGAGGCCCTTATCCACCACTTCCTGCTCTACACCAAGGGTTATGCTGTACCTCCTGGCGAGACCTATGCCGCTATTGAGGCGCCGAAGGGAGAGATGGGTGTGTATCTTGTGAGTGATGGTAGCGAGAGGCCGTACCGTTGCCACATCCGTGCGCCTGGTTTTGCGCACTTGGGCGGCTTCGATCAAGTCGCCAGAGGGCATCTGATCGCTGATGCTGTAGCGATCATCGGTACGATGGATCTGGTGTTCGGTAAGCACAATCAATGCCCTAGAAACATGAAGAATTTAGATACTAACGCATTTTGATGAAATAGGTGAAGTAGATAGGTGATAGGCCTATGAAGAAGGCTAAACTCTTAAAAAAAAAAAAGGCATTTCGCGGTGCAAATCATAGACATCGTTTTCACGTGTACGATAGTCGACGAGGTCACTGGTGACGTGTCTCGCATAATGCATATAGCATCGAAGCATCGTACTGCTTTAGTAAATACGGATATGAAATTTTCGTGAGATTTTTTTTTTCTTTTCTTATTTTATGTTTTATCGTCCGCTCTTCTCGCCTTACGGTTTTTTGTTTCCTCTTCTAGTCGATCTGTTCAGTGAAAATTGTCACTAGTTTATCGCTCTTATGTCAAGCAACATTGCAGCAAGTAGGTGGTATATTGCCGAAATGGCGAAAGCTCATATGCAGGTGCAGATCACGACAATATGGTGTCGGATGTCAAGATGATGCGTGAGATCTGATATCTCTGGTATCTTTAGTGAGATGCCGGGCGCTGCTCCGGGGAAAGTTTGGGGTAGTACAGCTCGCAGTTCTCGAAGGGGGGCATGTGAGAGTCACCTTCGGGGCCCGCGCCGACGGGTAGTCCGAGAATAGGGGTGCCTTCTGGTTCGTAGTAGATGGTCTGCATGTCGACGGGGTGACTAATAGTGCTAGGGAAAATCGGGGCTCGGGGTGAGGCGTCGTTGTAGCCATGCTGCTGCTGCTGCTGAGGCTGTTGTCCGTGACCCTGCATCGTGGATGTGTCAGGGGGGCTACAGGCCCAACGGGCGGGCTGACCGGGAGCGACGGGAGTGATAGGTGTGGATTGCACGTTGTGGGGAGTCCAGTATTGATGAACGGTGTCGGAGATGTGCAGATACGGCGGCATCGCCTGGTCCGCGGGCGGCTGGAAGCTAGGCGCGAAGTTTGATACGCTGGGACTCTGGTAGCTGGAGGTGCTGGCACCAGTGTTGCCGTCGTAGTTGTACGTGGGCAAGGTGTTCGCGCTCTCGCCGTCGTTGGCGTATCGACGAGCGTCGTTCGGGCCGTACTGGATCGCGGGCATGCCACCACTGCTGTTGTCGCTATTGCTCCTAGCAGCAGCCGCAGCAGCCGAAGCAGACGCAATTTCTTCACGCATTTCCGAGCGGCCTGTATAGCGATCAAACGTAATGTCACATGAGCAGCGACCGGCTCGGTGTAACTCGGCATGGTCACGTGTCCACTCGGCGCCGTAGAGGCTCAGCATGCGGACCGATACGCTGAGGCGTCTGGAGGAGTTGTGCTCCCTTTCCTCGAATAGGGGCGGTAGTCCGGGACCATTGCGGGGCGTGCCGGAGGTTGAGGCGCGGCGACGCTGGCGATTGTTCTGGTAGAAGGACTGATCGCCACGTCCTTTGCCCTTCCATCGCTTGCCCTTGCCGGGACGCTGTCGGCTAGGGATCTCAGGGCTAGCGCTACGAATGTCGGAGGGTGTGCTAATGCTCATATTAGCCATGCTGGCAGGGAGAGTTGTTGTTGCAATGTTAGCAGCGTTGGAGGTCGACGGCTGCGCAAATTGCGAGTATGGGCTCGGGTCGGTAGACGGCGTGAAAGCCGCGGCTGACGGAGAGAAGGAGAACTGGGAGCCGTCCATCTGCGCGGTTGCCGGGAAGCTGAGTGCCGGGGGCTCGGTAATGCCGAAAGTGGGGCCGTAGCCGCTTCCGCTGCGGGTGACCATGCGCGGCTGTTGCAGGTGCGGAAACCGGATGCTGCAGCTACAGGCGCCGCGCTCGTGCATGAATCGGTGCTCGTATTCGATGATGTCGATGAACCGGCCGTGGAGAATGCGGCCGCAGGCCGGACACATGGTCGGGGGGAGCATGGGGCGGCATGCCGGGTGCGGACAGCAGGGGTTGTTGTGCATCTGCGTGGTCATGGGACAGGGCCGCATGACGGGGACGCTGGTGTGTCCGCAGGTGTAGCCGACGTACTCGACGAAGCACATGTTGACGGTTTCGGCTGGGAAGACTGGAGATTGGACTTCGTTAGAGACGGGGGCTGGGGAGGGTATAAGTATTGATGTTGGGGGTATGTAATTGCCCTTGCCCTTGCCCTTGCGGAAAGCACGGTGGGCCATCGTACTATCTCAACGAGGTTGTGGTGTGGATAGTGTAGATGTTTATGGGCGAGTTGCACTGTATGAGCAGGATTGGGAAGGGGGTATGGGGAAGGAGTTTGGTGATTGGGCTAGCCTTGAGGGTAGAGTTAAAGCTTGGTGTATTTGTTGCTAGGATTGGATGGGCTTGGGATAATGGGTAATGGTTATTGTGCTAAAGGGAAAAGATTTGGCCTCTTGACCAATCGTAAGAAGATAAGATGGAGTGAGATGGTCGGCGACGAGGGAAGGAGCGTACTTACTAGAGATCTAGGGCCGGTGAAGGTCTGTATCGGCCTTCCCCTCTTGGGCTGAAGAAGCTATCTGCCGGGCGAAAGAGCGACCGGAAGCCTTGTGATCTTCTGCTGGTGTTGCAACAAGCAGCGGAAGCAGCGACGACCTATCTTGTACTCTGTATATGGATATATGTGAGAGCTTTGCGCGTCTAGACGATCGCCTTTGAAGAGGGTATATTGGAAAGGCTTGAATACTGTCTGAATAAGGAAGGCACGAGGTCCGCTGAGAGTATGAGCCGCTAAGGGTGTTAGCTACTGAAGGTATCTGCTGTCTGTGAATAAGAATTGCAGTCGTTAAAGAGCTACTAGAGACTAGAGTAGTTCAAATAATTATGATACCTAACCAGGTTGCAAATTGGTGATAAGTACAGGTGGTCCGTGGACTGTTAGGGTCGTTGCTGTGGTTCTAGATGTCCTCTAGACTAATGTCAGGATCAGTTCATATCAAGGAATTAACAAGGAGGAGTAGGAATTTATTATCTGCTAGTGCTCTTTCCTGGTGGGACGTGCTAATGGTTTTTTTTTTCTTTCTTTTTTTCCTCTTCTAATTCGGGCACAGGGAAAGAGGAGTCTTAGATGGCACTCAGGGGACAGATTTATGATAGGGAATGGGGTGGTAGAGGGAACAGGAAGTGGTAAGAGTCACTGGGCTGGTAATATGTAGGTCACTGCTCGAACAGATCAATTCTAAATATTCACCAAGGTCATGTCTAGCAGATGATATTTCCTATGGTTCGGATGATATAAATTGGTCATCAGGGAGCCATTTCGAGTTCCTCTAATTGGTTACTGTGCTAAATATCTCGTCTGAACTCAGGGCTACTAGGCATTGGCTACAGTGAAATGGTTACACCGTGCTGTTCACGCCAATAGTTGACTAGCAGACCGACCCTCTTGCTTTATCAATCCAATGTGTACTGTAGCTAGGCCTCTAAGCAGATAAATATATGGTCTAGTGCAATACAGTACAGCGTCTTCAGATAACCCCTCAGGAGGCTCACTTTTGTGAACAAGGGGTCAGAATTCTTATCGGCCCCTGCGGCTCTGATTCCAGGGACATGGGATGCACATACCAATAAAACTGCTGGAGAATCCACTCCACTGTGAACTATAGAGAACAGAATCGCGCCTGCTCCTTCTTGGAGAATGACTTGAGTAGTCAGATGATGGGCATCAATCTTGTGCACGGATCTACCTATATTTAGGACTCCTGAGGTATTAATAATTCTATGAATCTCCAGTAGGTAGACCTGGAGTGATTAAGATTGCAGATTAATGTGAAAGGCTCTTGGGACGGACCACCTTAATCACGTACCTAAGGTAAACTGAGTGATCACGACTGACTACCTATCTTCACAGCTAGGTTTGTCTTCAGTAAGGAATAATGTTTGTAGATGATCAGTTTTGTGTTTGTGGTTCACTCAATTGGATTTGGGATGGATAATGACCATTCTACGTATCAAACTACTTATTCAGTTAAATACTTGAATTATTGTATCTAGGTATATTAGCAAAGGTGAATAGAAAATATACTGAGGAATGCTTGTCGCTTCGCTATTTTTGGCTGTCATGATCATATCCAAGCGGAATGACATTATTGAGGGAAAATGGAAAATGGAAAATGGAGGAGTCAGTTATCTCAGGCCGTACCAGCAGCTGTTGATAACACAGCAACTGGCTGTAGCGTAATTGCTTTATCAGCATCACTGAACCATGAGGCTGCAGCATTCAGTGCTATAGTGAATGATGATTGATTATCTAGGAGACCAGGCTGTAGCTATCTCTTGAAAGTGCGGTATAAATAGGCCTCGTTTATCCAGGCCTAGTTAATAGTCCTACTAGTTATGCCCAATAGTAGGACTTGCTATTAGACGAATTACTTCAAATCAACGCCCACCTTGCTGAAGTCCTGTAGCAGATTAATAATAGTCACAGGAGTGAATATCAAGTGAGTTTACCTTGGTATCTTCTTGTCTGGTATTCCAGATCCCCTTTAAACGATGCCATGATACTGATGATTATCTCGATATCATCTAATCTCGTCTTACCAGCGCCGAGCTTGAGCTCTACCCATGGCCGAGGCCAAGAGGTTCCGTAACTGCCGGCCATCAAATCCTTTCTTATAAAGGTCCGTTCTTCCAAATCGCTCAATCTTGTCATATTCTTCCACAAGCCCCTTATCGTTGTATAGGTTCAAGCGTTGTACGAATATCGCGATCGACTGGGCTTTGTCTAGTTCGGTGTACTTGATCGCGATATGTATCCTAGATTGAACAGCGACGTCGAATAGGGCAATTTGGTTCGTAGTTAATATAAGTATACCTTAGGTGCATCGGCGGATTGTGTGTACTATTTGGTATAATATGAGAGGAATTTTACCTTGGAAATATTCGAGAACGCGAAGAAAGACTAGACGATATTATTAATTTCGTTACTGAAGTATATCTAAAGTATATTATATTTGTGTTTCTTACCTGAAACGAGAGCATTTCGCTCTGTCGTTGGACCCTGATGGCCAATGCCTCTACTTTGGACGAAGACGTCTACCTCGTCTCTGATATTTCGTGTTAGTGTGCTCTTTTGGAGGCGAAAGGTAACAGGTACATTAACAGAATTGCTTTCCACTTTGTAGCAAGGTCGAATATTCTCCTCAGGTAGGACTCGACATCCTGAGCTTTAGTTCCAACATCTCCTACTCCGATGCTAAACAGTGTTTTACCTGCTTCAGCGGCCAGTGTTTCCGCTAATGTAAATTAGTTAAGTATTTTTAGTATTGATGTTTTTTTTTCGAGTGTGCCCGTCGATGTTTTCCCAACTCCAGGATTCCCTATATGTTAGGGTCAGCATATACCACTATATCTGTATTAAATATTATCTAGTTTCTCACCACATAGTAGAATTACGAGTCCCTTAGCTAGGATGATTGTCGAGGCTAGCTGCGTCGTAAAGGCCCTCGTCGTTACTCAATGGATAATCGACTGGAGACCGAATGAGCGAGAATTAAGGGGGATTTTGGGTGTAAACGCCACTCTGCATTTAGAAACCAAAGTGCAGGGAGCCATATCTTACTAAGGACAGAATCAATATTTCTATCTTTTCTTCCACGTAGCAGCCAGCCAACGGCTAAATCGAAGGATGAATGAACTAAGTGTCGAGAATACTCCGTAGATGTGAAGGTGAGGAGGAATGAGTCGAAACTTTAGTCTTATGGTGCTTCGAGTTATTCTATTCGAGAGCAGCTTGTGACCTATAATAAAAATGATAAAAAGATCTGTTGTTATGCTTTGCTGATAAGGTCAGTTCAGATCTTACCAAATATTATTTGCCATACTATTAGCGAGATCATATATTCCTACTTAATTATAGATGGCCTGTTTCATCATAGAATAAATGAGCGCCATTGCAAAATGCAACGGATTTGTACTCGAGATTACTGACCTTTGTAAGTTTAATTGGATTAATTGGAATATGCAGAGACGCATGGGTTGGTTGGTTGCGTTGAGGTTAGCAAATTGCTGCGACAGGCAGGCAAAAACCTACCAAAACAATTTCTAAAAAGAAAAGGGAATGAAAAAAAGGATAGAAAGTGCAAAAAGTCGGCTGGAGCCTGTTATCCGCCGGTTCGAACAGGCCCCTTCCGCGAAAAACCTGAAAGTGGCAAGTTCCCAAAGGGATAGGAAGCCCGGTGCTTCCAACTACACCACCCCGTTTTTACTCCCAGGACTCCGAGGCGCCTAGGGGCACCATCCCGATTAATTGCTGCACTGCTATCTACCTATATATGTTACCCGACGGAATTTAAAAATTTTAAAGTTTGTACCGTCTTGCTTAAGCAAACAGGAGACATCTGATAACGTAGGTACCTGTGTACTTGCAAATCGTTCTCTCGACAAGAATTACAATTTCATTCATTTATTCACTCCCCCCTATTCTGAACCTGTTATTTTCTTATGACTTATGTCTACATGATTTCCTCGCAACCTCCCGTAATGAAGATACCTATATTTGAGTAGTTTTGCTTAGGGGTTCGCATCAAGTACGGCCCAAAATACGCTGTAGCACTTCGCAGTGGCTAGTGGCTAGTGTTGGAAAACTGAAGTCTGTTTTTATGGTACAAGTAAACTTGATCAGTATCTGAGGGTAAACGCATACTTCTAGGTACATTAGGTACATTTAAAGGTTTATTTTTTATTTTTTATTTTTTATCTTTCAGAGTTTGGGTACCTTACGCGCCAAATTTAATTTTGGAAAATGTGCTTTCCAATAAATGCAGTGGTATTGAGATTCTAACCACTCAAACTCCCCTAGCAACGGTTGCTCTAGACATACTCTTTAGTGGATTAGTATGTCATGACTTTGAAGTTTTATTTCTTTTTATTACCATACTTGGACAAAGTGACTGTCTATGTCCCCTTAACTTTAATTCTTGACATGGTAATAAAAGAATTCTTGCAATCCCGCGTTCCTTACGACTTATAAGACGTCGCAAAGGTCACGTGATATATACTGAACCGCTTGACAATGAACAGACAACCATGCATCAAATGCCAAACTCTTATTTCCATTTATTATATCTCAGGCAATACTAATACAGCATATTTGCTGTGGTAATTCCACCGGCATATGGTAAGGCTTAAGTCTCGGCTATAACTTATGTATCACCAGTATCAATACCCCGGACAAAACAGAACAAAAATGCTTTCAGTTTTATTTCCTTTTGTTTAGGTACCTAAATTTATACAAGTATAGCACAAATAAGTACATACATACAGACGTACGTGATTAGCTTATGAAGACTAGTAAAATGAATTTGGGGTGAATATCGATGCAAGATCAGATTATAACCCCCTTTTAATTGTGTGAATTGTCATGTTGAGGAGGCACCCGAGCAATGCAAACCATAGGTGGGTAACATACAACAGCTTATGTCGGAAACGGTTGGCCCGAACACACATGTATCTTAGGCAGGCAAATATAAATCATAACAAACACAACTAGCAATACGTCGCGTGACTATTAATTACCTACTCACAGGCAAGTAGTAAATAACGCTTCTTTACTTTGTACTTAACTTTCCACATTTACACCATCGTTACCAATCTTCCAAAGCCATAGACTTAAGCAATACCAAAGCCACTTCCAAGATTCAATAGCAACATGGCATCATCACAAGCACGTCAGCCTCCTCAAACTGCATCTGCAAGCGATCCGGTGAGTTAATTTGCTAACAACCAGCCACCATCGATCAACAAAAATACTAACGTATCTTCAATAGCGCAGTGGAGAATGGTGTCGCATCCTAATACCGGTCCCCCCCAATCACGACGAATTCTTCACAATTGAAGAACTACACACCCGCCATACCCATGATGTCCTCACTCATTGTCAGGAGCTCTTTAAGACATACCAAGATACGGGAGATGCATCGTGGCTGGAAAAGCGCCGCCTAACACTCCAACAATGGCTGGTTCGATTTGACGTGATGAGTGTACATCTAGAACAGTGCAAGAACGCTGTCCAAACGGCTTTGGACCTATCAGAGCCAGATGAACCGGACGATACTTATGCATCGCCTAGAGCTCCTCCTCGTCAAGCAGCAATTGAGAGACCAGCAACTCCTCCCCCTTCCCACAGTAGGATCACACGACGAAGACTGCAACAAGTTGGCTCAACTCCAATCAATGAAGAGGAGGGAGGCTCATTGACGCCTCGGAGCTACTTGGAACAGAAGATCGAGGCTACTTGGCATAGATATAACCGGAACCTCCAATTCACCCTCACGTACAACGGCTTTGACGCCGACCCGCCTGACTGGTACTTTGCGCGACAGGAACACGGCCAATGGGTTGGCAGCGGCTTGCGATGGGAATGCGACGGAGTGAAAGTCAAGAAGTACCTTGTTCTATCTACACCGCGCAACCTCACCATCGTGCACCACGCACTGAATTTCCTACGAGACCATAAGCAAAAGCTCGTCAAGGAGCTAGCAAAAGTCAAGGGGTTGCCGCTGGACCGACGTCGACGAGACACTTAGGAAGATGATCAGGCCGTGCCCAGCGGCAACCGCGAGGACGAACCACTGCAACTCATGGTTATCGAAGTCGGATCGAACCGACAGGTTTTCGCCTCAGGTCGCATCCTCTTACGCGACATCGACTTCGAAGGCAACGAGGAGATCCGAAGTCCCCTGTCAGGCGAAATCATTGGCCTGCAAGACACCAGCTCTAACGATTTGATCTTCCCGGTCGAGGAAAGAACCTTGCGGGATATTTATAACCTCCATGAAGATATAGAAGCTGAGATTGACGCACGCGACGAAGCTGCCGAGGCAGAGCGCCAGGATAATAGGGAAGATGCCTCCGCTTAATGTATCAAAAGCTCAATTGTTCAGCATTGGGGATTGCGTGTTATGTATTAAGAGGAATCGATATGGTTGATATTTCCACAATCCGGCTTGTTTGTAGGAAACACCAGCACGTTTGCTGAGTGCGCATGGGTGTTTTTGCGTTTCATGGCCAATCCCTAAGAGGGTATATTTCGGCAAAAGCAGAGAGTTCGACTGAGTAGTTCTCCATCCCTACCTTTGGTCCTTATGTTATTATGTTTTTCGCGTATAGCTTATCTTGTAATACTAATTGCTGCATCTCCGGATGTTTAGTTTCCGGCACGTTAATAAAAATCTGTTGATTTTAAAACGTCTCTCACTCTGCGACTTACATACAAGACGTTGTAAAGATCACGTGACAAATACCCAATGCTGTGAAAGCCACAGCTTGATGAGGCTTAATCCCAGCCACAGTCTGTAGAGGGCAGCCACAACTCATACATAGGTACGTACCTAAGGCATTGGATCCGTTGATTCCATGCGAATGTAGAAAGATCAACAACAATTAAAATAATGAAATTTATTCGATGCAAAGCATATCCTAATTTACGTACAGTACATATATAGGACTCTCCAACGTCGCCTTCCGTGACTCCATGTAGTCATGCTATCGTTCCTCCTATCCTCTAGGTATCTATCAGAGCAACACGTAGGAAGTAGGCCGTAGTTTTCGGGTTTAGGTGTAAGGTTATAGGAATGGGTTGTTTACAAGGTGTCCATCTTGTCTAGGATGGCACGGGTGAATTCGTGAGTGGTGGAATCACCACCCATGTCGCGGGTGCGGTACTTGCTGTGGAACCGGTTAGCACTAATAACCACAACTTATTCCAAGGCATAACAGAGAAACTTACCCTTCGGCAATCACACCATAAACGGCCTTGGAGATGCGGTTGGCATGGTCGTCAAGACCCAGGTGGCGGAGCAGCATAGATGCGGAGAGAAGAAGAGCGGTAGGGTTGGCTTGGTCCTTGCCCTTGATATCGAGACCGACGTGTCGGCAACCAGGCTCGAAGACGGCAACATCGCGACCCATGTTGCAGCCGGGAACGATACCAGGACCACCGACGAGAGCGGCACCGATGTTGGACAGGATGCCACCGTACAAGTTGGGCATAACCATGACGTCGAATTGTTGGGGTCGCGACACGCACTGCATGCTGGCGTTGTCGACGATCATGTCGTTAGTCTCGAGGGTAGGGTATTCGGCAGCAGTCTTCTGGAAGGTGCTTCGGAAGAGACCGTCAGCCAGCTTCATGATGTTGGCCTTGTGGATACAGGTAACCTTCTTGCGGTTGTTAGCTAGCGCAAACGAGAAAGCGAACTTGGCAATTCGCTCCGACTTGGCTCGGGTGATGATCTTGAGGGACTCGACGACGCCCGGTACGCTCTGGTGCTCCAAGCCGCTGTATTCACCCTCGGTGTTTTCTCGGATGATGCATAGATCGACGTCCTTATGACGGGTGTTGTAGCCAGGGATGTTCTTGATGAGCGAGATAGAGGCGTAGATGTCGAGTTCTTGTCGCAGAGCGACGTTGAAACTCTGGTGTCCTGATCTGCTGATAGGCGTGTGGAGGATACCCTTCAATGCCAGCTTGTTCCTCTTGAGGGAAGCGACAGATTCCCGGAACATTTCCTCGAGGCTACCAGGCGAACCACTTTCCACACCAGAGACGTCGACTTGCTCCCAATCAATGGGCACGTTGTCGGCCTTGAAAACAGTCTTGACACTCTCAGCTACCTCGGCACCAATACCGTCACCGGGAATGAGGGTAACAGTGTATTTGCCGCCATACTTCGTAGGCTTGAAAATGTCGGATTGGACCGTCGCAAAAGATCGCGAAGCATTTTGGATGTGCGATTGTTGACGGTTGGCTGTTCGCGCCAGGCGCTGCGGGAGAAGAGCGTTAGCCGAATTATCATTATCGTCTTACCGAAAAAAGAGCATGTGAAAGGTGGAGGGAAGCTCGAGCCATTGGGCTGGGCAAATTGGAGACATATGTATTCCGTACGTACCTGGGCAGCTCTGGCAGAGTTTCGCGACAACATCGTGGGTTAGAAATGTGGTATGTGGCCTTACTAAAAGGGAGTGATGCGTCGGAAGTGCTCAAGGAAAGGAGATCAGTGATGCAAAGACTTGCAAATGGCGCAGGTCGTAAAAAGCTTGGTGGATAGGTCCTTGGTAGGCTAGGCTTGGTGCTGGTTGGTGGGTTTGGTAGGAGGGAGAATGGGCAAGCCGTGGCATTCCGATCGGGTGAACGGGGGCAAGAGAAAAGAAAGCACGGTTCGTTTAAAAACACCCTTTAATCCCGAAGGTACTTTGGTACTTCACCACGTTTAATGCCAGGTGCTACGAAGTACCTACAGTTTTTTTTCTGGGTTGGTGACCCCTCTAGCCACATTATGCACGTAAATGCGGGTATATGTGGCGCTGTATCTTATCTGATCTGATCGCAGAATGCATAACTTTGGGTACGTACCTCAAACCCGCACTTTTATGTATTTACATGTAACGTTCCAAAGCAAGGCATGATTATTCCACTGGGGATCTTTTCTGAGAATAAAGCTACATCTCTCTTTTGAACTACATAGGTAGGTAGTCATGGATCGATTTAGAGCATATTATATTAGCTTAGCATCCCCCACCAAGGAACTACGACAAGGAAACTGTATATATATACCAACAAGCTTCATGACACTTCATATCTCGACGAGGAAATAGCCATGTTCTGAAGACCACCGAAATGTACAATATGTGTTATTCTAAAGAGCATTATAAACTTTAGTGAAACTTACTCATAACTATACTTACTTTAATCTTTAATGAGGCGGAGCACTGCAACTCCCCTCTGCCTGCCTGGTATATTCTAATATTTCCTGGAAGATGCTACCTCTTTATATTTCATTAGCCTATCGGTCCAAGTTTCCCTCCCTTCTTATTTATAAGCTCTACTCCAAACTACCTAACTTCCTTATCACATAAGGGTAGATCACACGATAAGAGTGAGAGGCATATACCTGGTACCTAATAGGAAACTTTACTTCTCGTTGAAAGCTTAGCAGGTATTACTTACTCTCCCAGGTCTCCACGTCCACCTCATATCTTAGTTTAGCAACCTATATCATTCTACTTTACTTTACCTAGATGGCTCTCAAACGCACCACGTCAGCGTGGGCAAGAACCAATCCTGCTGCAAGCCACTCGTTTCAGACAGAATCTCCTTCAGATAATAGGTTTATTTTATATACCCTTTCTCATTGTTCTATATTCCCTTCTAAGCAGGACATCCCTAACCTGAGAGTTGTGGACACACACCAACAACCCTCCTCGGTAACCCCTAGAAGAAATAAACACAGCTGTGACGTAAAGTATCTATTATAGCAAAGGTTACAAAACATACAGATTGGCCGTGTGGGGGAAGAGAGATTGAAAAAAAAACCCCAGAAACTCAGTCGTCTGACTTATACCCGTTATGCCACCCGCCCAACCTCATTGCCACTAAACCCCTGTCACTAGCTAGCCGTCCGTATATCCAAGCCAAGATACAGCAACAATGGCCGAATACGCGGCGGCAGCCATCGCGGCTCTGACAACAACAGCGGCCATGGTCGGCAGCTCGACGGCACACAGGCAGCAGATATATAGAGGATACAACGGCATCGAGAACTCGCCCTGGCAGCGCCGTCCCCCGTTCACGAGCACGTCCCTTCGACGTGCAAGCGCTTACTACGGGCAGTCATTATACTGTCCGCCCGGCTTACACGAGCACCTTGTGCATCACGCCGAGTGCCCGGCCTCGCAATGTCACTACAGAGCTTTCGTATGCCCCCTTCTCTTATTCTCTCCTATATTTTCTCAAGCCTATTCCCTACAGCCCCCCCTTAATAACTTTACTAATGCCTGTTTCCCACCGACACAGCTCATGGATTCGATCCAGCGATACAACGAAGCCAGGCGAGCCCTACGAGAAACATACGTGTGGAACCTACGGGAGTTAGCACGCGTACATGCGGCACAGCCGCGCAAGCCGGCCATTGACAAGGCCGCCGAGGCCGATCGCCTCTACAATTACTACGTCTCGCGGGTCCGAGACGTCTTCGAAGAGCATCGCTGTGATCACCGCCGGTTATTTGGCCAGGACTACTTATATTGGGCGCAGCCTGAGCGTGAGGACCATATCAGGTCACTGTTACGCGGCCGAACGAGAAGCAGGATTGCTAGTCGTATTGAAAGTTCTAGTAACGACACTAGCGGCAATAGCGAGAAGCAAGGTATTAATTCCACTAACACTGAGGATATGAAAGGAGAGGAAGGTTCGGAATGCGTAGAAGAAAACTCGGGGAACAAAGAGAACTCAGTCGGAGGCACAGGGGACAGAGTAACATAATTTCCTTTTTCCTTTCTATTCTGCTTTTCGGCAATACTATTAAACGCCTTCGCAACATAAATGCCAAACCTCGCATCGCATCCAGGGCAGACGGGACGGGGGATTCTAGAACCTAATACAAGCAAGCCTAGCTAGTGTAGCTCCGGGACGGGCAGGGAATAGTACAAAACGGAAGAGGACCCGTGTCTAATACATACCATCACTACCAGCATCCCCTTATTAGATATATACTTACACAACACGTTATCCCTCCGCAGGGTATATCTTTTTTTCTCGAAATAAAATGTACTCCTATAGTTCCGTGCCGTGCCAAGCCATGCGTTTAATTAATCCAGTCATTACGTTTCATCTTCATCCAGTGGCTCGACTCGGACGAGGATCTCTTCGAGAAGGCCCTCGAGGAAGGTACCGACTTCTTTGCCCATACCCACGGGCTCACTCTTGTCGAGCCGGTCAATCTCCTTACACACGTTGGCCAGCTTGTACACGTGCTTGCGGATGCGGTCGTGCGCCGCCTCGGCCCGCTGCCGTTGCGGGGTAATGACCTTCTCGTTGCGGTAGATCTGCTGCAGCCGGATCTGCCTTCGTTTAAGGGCCTCCTCGAGAGCCGGGAAGATGACGTCGTTCAGGGCGTCTAGCTCGCCATTTGGGTTCGTGGGGCCGGGAGGCGGGAAGGCGTCCGGCATAGGAGCCTGCTGCTTGGGCTGCGCCTTGGAAGCGAACGCTTGCGAGCTCGGGTTAGAATGCTGATTGCTGACTCCACGCGGAGGCTGCTGTTGCGCACTAGGTCCGCGGTACGGAGGGATTTCCGGAAGGGCGAAGGGGATGGGTCTAGGAATTCCGCGTGGCTGCTGCAGCTGCGGTTGGGAATTCTTGGGAGTTATAGGTTGTTGCGAATGAGTAGCTTGAGATTGGGGAGGCGCAATGCTGAGAGCGCCCATATCTTGCTGTATTTGTTCCTTCAGTGCTCGATCGTAATCGGCTGATATCATGCTGGTATTAGGCGTCGGCCTCGAAGGCCGTGGAGTACTGGGATCTTGTGTGTATTTCTGTGGTGAGGGAGGCAGTGGAATCTTTGAAGGTGATACGGCTGTCACTGCTGGGACTGGTTTCCGCTGAGGCGAAGATTGCCGGGATGTTCCTAGTGCCGGAGCGTTCGCAGCCTTCAGAGTGCTGGTTACGGAGGAATTGGCGAAGTCTTGGGCTTGAATCTTAGTCGGTGATGATCCCCTAGGGCTCTCACCATAGTCTGCTTCCAGCGGTCTTGATGCCCTGACATTCCTAGTAGATTCATCCATGGGGTTCAAACCAGGTCGGTTAACTATTCCTCGGCCGCTCACTAGCCGGACAGTGCCAAAATCCCACATATCCTCATTGACGCGTTCTGGCTCAACCGAGTCTTCTCGTTCTTCCACGGTTTCCTCTTCCTCCGACTTATGGGTTGCGCTCCATCGATTATAACGCTCAATTAGCTCTGTTAAGTAGCTAGTTTTCTTCGCCTTTCGGATGAAAGGGTGCTTGAGCAGATCTCTAGCTACCGGCCGTTCTTTCGGGTCTCGTTGTAGACAGAGTTCGATGAAATCTTTGAATGCTTTTGTGAAGTTTCCTTCCAATCTAGGAGGAGCATTTTTGGGGATTAGGAACAAAACTTTCATTGGATGGATGTCGGCATAAGGTGGCTCGCCATTGGCAAGTTCTAATGCTGTAATTCCCAGCGACCAGATGTCTGCCTTGTGATCGTATCCAGACTGTTTAATGACTTCAGGAGCCATCCAAAACGGAGTACCAACGAATGTATTCTTCTTTGTCATGGTCGCGGAGAGCTGTCCAGAGACGCCAAAATCAGCCAGCTTCACCTGGCCATTGGAACTGAGTAGAATATTCGCCGCTAAACCAATACCTCGTTAGTAAATTCGCATTCGCAACGTCTCCCGAACTCATGCGGTAATACCTTTAATGTCCCGGTGAAGCTTCTTATCTGCGTGAAGGTAATCAAGGCCCAAAAGCAATTCCCTTATGATTATTGCAATGTAGTCTTCTCCTATCATGCCAGGCTTCATGAGATCGGCGCAGCTCCCGCCGGAGCAGTATTCCATCACGATCCATAGCTCAGCACCTTTCGCATATGATCCGTAGTATTTGGTGACGTATGGTGATTGGAGCTCGGAGAGAATGGCAATTTCTTGTATAATATCTTCGACCTCATCTTCAGCGCTCTCGATATCGATGACTTTGATAGCGACGGCTTGACCGCTCCGCCTCTCAACGCTTGTCTTAAAGTTAGCCATTGGTGCAGCAAGATGATCCAATTGGAGGTACGAACCCCTTGTAAACTTTTCCAAAGCTTCCCCCACCTAAAGCGCAGGTCAGCAATAGTCCCTAAGGTAGTCCCTATGCAGAGCGTCTGCGAGAGTCTGACCAATGCAGTATTCTTTGGTATACAGAAGCTCGGGGTCTAGGGCCTCATTGCTCTCGTCATAATCTCGTTCAGCCATAATGTAACGCAGTTCTCGTTATTCGTAGTATATAAATTCGTGAATCGTAATAGTGTGAACTTAGTTGCGAAGTAGTCGGGGTAGGTATCAAAGTAATAAAATCGTGGTGACTTTGGATTGGCTGATTCTGGAAAGGAGGTGAAGGCCTGCCCGCAACAAATATCGATTTTTCAGAATATGAACGTTCATAACCAGCTACCTAGATAATTCGGAGGTTGTATAAGTCACAAGACAACTTGGATTAGCTTGCCAGAGAAGAATGAAGGTAGGTAGAGGTGCGCAGCTCAAAAGAAGGATTGTTCAATACAAAAAATAGAAGCTTCAACGAGGAATGAAAGGCGACAAAGTGATAAGATGACGAGATGACAAAAAAGCACCGGCGATTCGGTAGCATGCATGTACCAATGCGACAAGATCGATGTCCAATGTCAACAAACGCGGCAACGGCAATCAATGCATGCCCAGACAATATGACAAGTGAGAGAAATAGGCAAGTCAAGAAAAATAGAGACAGATGATTTGTTGTGATGTGTGATGGCGGGAGAGCTGGGCAACAGGGAGCAACTGGGGGGGGGGGGGGGCAACAGGGCAACAGGGCAATTAGAATACAATTAGAATACAAGGTCCTGATAGGTCTTACAAGGTTTGGCAGGGGGTTGATAGGGTTGACAGGGTTGCCTGCCGTGGGTAACGTGGGGTTGAAAGAGGGACGTTAATCGATTGGATAAAAACCAATGCGGTGAGTTTATCTCCCTGTTTCCCCGACACCGCGGGCTGCTGCGGGCCTGCAGGCACGCGCGCAAACGCTGGGCTGAGATTCCTCGTTACGTCGTTACGTCGTCACGTTATTACGCCCTTACGTAGCTGCGTAGCTGCGCAAGCCACGCGGTCCACGTAATAAAAGTTATAAAAGTCGCGCTATAAGATACACGCGCCGCGGCGTTAGATTTATGAATTTGATGGAGGTAGTTAGTTCATTAGCTCCACACTTCCTACCTCTATCTAGGTATGTACCTAGATTACCTAAATACAAGCATACGGATTGTAGAACAAGGCTTGAACATTTGAATTACACTAATATCGGCTCAAATAAGACTTGACGAAGCAAAAACGGTTTTATATAAGTTCGTCGGATTAAATAGTTGTTATATTGATGAAGCATATTGATTATTATGCTTACTACGAAATGAATAAGCAGCTGATCGGTGCTTTGTGAAGTAGGTCTCATTGTTGCTAAAGCCACTATTAAATTCCGAGGCAGATTATCGTCTTTGACCGACTATTACACACCGCGCTCACTTCGCTATTCTACTTTTACCAAGTGAACGCGTGGTGCTTATACTGTTATCTGTTATCTTTTAACATAGAGGCCATATTATTTCGCGTAGATATAAGTACCTAGGTATTGAAACAGATAGAGGCGATCTTCGAGATAACATTCGATCATTCCCACTCACCTGGCTTCTGGTTCCGAAAACTCGGGTCACCACCAGCCCCGCATTCAGCTATGACCCATAAGGTTCGGGCTCGGGTTCGGGGACTTGGCAGAACCCCTGATTCAGGGGTCAGCCGGCAGGAGGAGTCTAGTAAAAGACACGGCGTTTTCTCTTTCCTTCGGGAAAAACACCTGTCCCCGAGATCAAATTTCCAAAATATCATATCTGTGATCAACTCTTGACGGAGTAAGTCTTAGCGAGACACGACCAAACCCCGTCTGTGATGTTAATCTTGCTAGGTAGTTTTCGAATAGTGTTACATAGATTCGAATACGATTGACTACCTAAACCAGGCACCTAAACGTAGCTTGACGCAAGGCATCTTGTTAGGTGCATAATCTATGCTTCTTATCTGGTAATTTCTTTCCCTCTGCTCACTATCACAATAAAGCCATTAGTTATCTAAAATGAAAGTTAACTTATATATGGTAAGAACGTTCTTGTTAGGATATAATAGGGCTGTCCCGTAGGGTAACCGCTAGATACTAGGTCTACTTCGTATATAAGGATGTTATACCTTTCCCCATTCTTAGGAGGGCATAGGTCAATAGTCACTATTACACTGCTATACTACTAGTTAGACCCCTATCTCTTACCTCACGTTACACAATACCCTAACACTAGGCGGCGTCGGACTAGCAGTATATTAGATATAGATATATGTTGACAAATTATACATAGAAACTATATCCTCACCCCTGTTTGAAGGAGAAAGAAGAATAAGGCACCACGATATTGATTTTCTATCCATGATAGTTACCTCTGTGTTGTAAACCTCGAGAATGATGTTATATTAATGTCAGCCCCTCATACCGAGATCTCTCATGAGATATCAAAGTTCCTCACTGTCATGACAAAGGACACAAAGAGATACTCTCTTAGAGGGGTTTTCTTATTATACATACAAATAGCGTCAATGCGAGTTTTCAACTTTTTATATTAATATTAATTTGTATCTCAAGTCTCGGCCCGGTTATTTGGCATAACAAAAGGTACTTGGCATATGAACAATGCCCACACAACAAGAAGATGACTGCATTGGCCTATGCCATAGTTGGATCAAAACGATTGCGGAAATGTGCTCATCATTCTGTTAAATCATATCAGTCTTTGTTTTAATAAGGGAGACCGCTTAGTAGGATAGCGGCTTTAAAGGGGACACTATTAATAGTCAAATTGATAATGCCTAATTCCTTACTTACCACATATCAACATAAACCGGCAAAACATCATAGTAATTAAAAGACGACAAGTTACTACAAATATTAGTCGCCATGTTTAATCTGTCTATATTTGATCGGCGACAGCATAGACATCGTGCTTCCCACAATCCAAGTCGCCATTCATCTAGGAATTCAGTTGAGTTTTCACCTCGACAGAATGTGGACAGAGAGTCCTCGAGTGAATATGAAACTGCACGATCAGGACGACAATCAACGCAATATGGTTCCGCACGATCCGGGCAACAATCAACGCAATATAGTTCTGCACGATCCGGGCAACAATCAACACAATACGACACCGGAAGATCAAGGCAACAATCAACAGACTATGGTACCGCACGATCAGGGCAACAGTCAACACAATACGACACCGGAAGATCAAGGCAACAATCAACAGACTATGGTACCGCACGATCAGGGCAACAGTCAACAACATATGAAACAGCGACCTCTATTATGGAAAGACTTCGGTTATCACATTCTCCTGAGCCTTCACGGCACCGCTCATCTTCCCGTGGCTTTCCCTCTTCGTCAACACGAAATCCGGCTACATCTCCGCAGGTTAGACATCCACTTGGGTTGAGGGAAAGTCCGATTACATCTTCTCATCAAGCTTCGTCTTCAATATATCCACATTCAACTACGTATAGCCCTGAACGCTCATCGTCGCGATATTATCCGCCTTCAGCGACGCGATACCCGGCGGAATCTTCACGTGACACTAGGCGTTCATCTTCGCGCGATCGTGGACCTTCACGCGGCGAATCTTCACGTGGCGAATCTTCACGCGGTGAATCTTCACGTGGTGAACCTTCGCGTGGTGAATCTTCGCGTGGGACCCGTCATTCACATCCACGCGATCGACCTTCACCATCGTATGATCCTCCGCCTCGTTACAAAACCCTGCCTTCGCGAGATGGTCGTCCGCCTTCGCCTCCGCCTCCGCCTCCGCCTCCATCTCCGCCTCCATCTCCACCTCCAGGTGGACCCTCACCTCCAGAATCCGATTCTTCTGATTCTTCTGAATCTGAATACGAACCTGCACCTTCGTATAGAACTCAGCCTACGCATGAACCTAGACCCCCGACGGCCCTTAACCTTCTGGAAAGAGCACGAGGTGAAGCTCGCGAAATCCTTCGACAAAGGGCAAGAACAGAGGCCCGCAACATCCGGAGCTTCTTCCAGCGAGACGAAAGGAATTTTCAATATCTGGGTATAGCGGGCCATGGTGCGAATAGCGTTGCGGTTAAGGTCAAATTGAGGAGCCGTTGGTTTAGCCGTCACTCTTCACGGACGTTTGTCGTTAAACGTGCGATTGTAGCGGGAATCCAAAGGAAATTAAGGAACGAAAACCGTATATTAAGAGTAAGTATCCCGAAAACCTAAAGAGGCTATGGGATTTCAAAATTTCATATACGTTATAATTGCAATCAGACCTAACTTACTCTTTCAAAGATGCTGCGCGGAGCCAAACACATCGTCCAACTATATCGAACTTCCGGTATACGTAACCCTATAGATAGGGCGCGAGGTCGAACAGTGATAATGGAATGGGCTCCTAATGGAACTTTGGGAAATTTCATCACGAGACTAGCGCGAAGTCGTGACCATCAATCTAATCGAATGCTCCATATCTTATTCATGTGCTGTAAGTACCATTAAGGAGATCAAAATCAATACTTAGTTATCATCAAGGCTAACATTTTGGCCCCTACTTAGTGGTTCGCATGTGTATAGCCATGGCGTTCCCACCAAGACAGGGAAGACGTGCAAGACCTCAAAGGGAGACACTACCCGATTCAAGAGCTGCGCGGGAGCGGAAGACTCAACTTATCCACCACGACATGCATACGCATAATAGTGAGCTCCATACTATTTAATTATCTAAGCTAGACGTGGCTATATGAATGCTGCTAGAGTGCTAAGAGTCGTTTGCTGACCTATCTGTTTCGAAATCTAGTACTGTTTGGAGATGTTGAACCCCCTGGCGACGGCGATCATTACGTGCTCCCCCCGTTGAAACTTATAGATTTCGAAGACGCCGAGGTGCTTTCAGACCCACAAAGGTAAGACTATTTTTCTCCTGGTAGTTACTAGCAGAAGTACAGTAGTGTTGACATTATCCGTGAAGACATAACCAAGCAGTTCAGTCAAATATATTGAGTATCGGAATGGTACGTGGCCGTTTCTCTCTGTATACAATCCCGGTTAACTTTTTAACATGCGTGCTTACGTTTGAATAGATAATGAGATGCATAATTACGGGTAATACAAACATGAACGCGCATGCTGTCCCTGTGCGGATTAATGTTAGTGGGCTGAATGTGACCATCACATCATACGCCAACTTTCCTTCCAACACTTACCCAGATATTGACGATGATATTAAAAGCCTTGTCGTTCAATGTTGTGCTGTAAATCCGCAGGAGAGGCCTACCCTTGAAGATTTGTATGGGAGAGCCCGTAGCCACCTCCGCAATAGGGAATACGATTACTATCGGGCTACTCCGAGCGCACCATACGAAAGAAAGCCATGGATAACACGATTAGTCCAAGAGTATATCCTTAACGCTGACAGCACTTGAATAAAAGGGGGTAGAGTAGACCCTATAAACTAAGCACTGGGGAGAGTAATTGTCTCGATACGGAGGCCGAAATGTCATACGACAATGGAATGAATAAGGATTGGAAGAAAATTGGCTTCGGCAAGCACATATAAGAAGTCGAATAAATACCTATACATAATGTCACTAAATATACCTAGGTAGGAGTATACAAATAGGAATTAGTAAATTCGTTGCTGATTTCAGGAGTATATATTATCTAATTCCTCTAGTATACGCGCAGAAGGCACATCAACTAGCAATATCATGTCCGTAAGAGTCTAAGTACCCTCGGAGGAACGCGTTTCGAAGTAAATGAAACCAACATAACTAGAGTATATAGGGGTGAACGGTACGATGCCTATGGCTCCATGTGTCAGGGTATTATGGGTCAGGGGTAGCTACAGGGGTCTATCGACTATATAAGAGGCGCGAAGCGCCCTCGTAAGAGGATAGAAGGCCAGGCGTTACTAGATCAATACTATCTATTACTTGGTATACCTATCCTAGACACTCACTCTGTGTATGACATCAATCGACGGGTATAAATCCTGACACCATGATACAGTCCAAAGGACGGAGGAAATGTCCAATACGGGTCGTAGGAACATTATAGGGCTCATAATAGGCAACAGCTAGACTAATTTCTCCGTAGCACTTGAAGAATTTATTTCATGGCAGTTCGACGAGCAACCAGTGATGGTTTTAGAAGCTTAATATTCTATTTCTCTATTCCTATTCTCTGCCTCAATACTGCACTATTTTCTCCGAAGCTACCTATCCACCAAGTTCCGCTATGGTAGGTAATATTAAATTTTTGTTTTGAGAAGAGTTCAGCACTTTGCTCAGGTATCACGGTCAACTAACATAATACGGCAGTAATGTTAATTAAAATTTTAATCCCATTACGTAAATCACCTTAAATTTGAAAATAAGCTCTTGGGTATCTAACATTAGGTATATACTATTATAGCTTATTAAAATCGCAATTAGAGACATGCATAGGATCGGTAGGTTAGGTACTTAAAACATGAAGACCTGGCATAATATTTAAAGCGACGAGACAACTTCTCATTTTTGTGAAGAGCCTAAATCTTTGAACTAATAGACTTTGACATTCAAAACCCAACTCTCTGTGGGACGTAGCGAATTAGTTACCAAAGATTTCGTAGTTTAGCATTGCAGAGAGTACCAATAGCTATAATATAGTTGTATATCTCGCCCTGAATAAGATATTATATGGGTAAACTTGGTAAGTAAACTCCTGAAGAGCTAAGTTTCGAGATTACTGATATTGCCAAGTCCTAACTAAGACTTTTTGTATTGGTCAGTTATAATGCGACTACTCAAGCATTGTACGTATAACTTTACATAGATCTGTCATTCTAAGTTCTTTACTACCTAATACCTAAAGACTTTGATTTCACCCTTTCATTTAGGAGGGGCTAGCTTCCACTTTGTACACGAGAGCATTTACCATTCTATAGCAGGCTTCCTTGTAGAGAGACTTTTGTTGTGGGAGTTAAATATTGGTGGAGCGCTTTTGAGTCTACACATGATATACGGTAACGAAGACCTAGTCACGATGAAAGCGAAACCGGCCCTGATGTTGATTGTATGGGAGCTGGATTTCGACTTCAATTGGGAGGGGCGGCACAAACAGCAGATTGTTTGATTCTCATCCCCGTTTTTTAGATCTTCAAGCGGGCATCCGTTTCCGGAGTGGCTTCTCTCTAACTCATCTAACAACATCGCTAGGAACTGTGGATGATGAGCATATACTGCGTTATAGATGGTATTACCTACCTGTGTATGTCAAGGATTGCTTGGCCAGTCGCGTCAGATTGAGATAACCCTACGTCTGAGATGGGGTTCCCCATACCCCTTTTCGCATTACGATCTAAAAGTTAGCGGCTAGTCTAGGATCAACGTAATTCAAGACAGTCCACGTAGGTTGAGTAGGTAGTTATGTTCGGGAGACTGGTTATTGTGGTTTAGTTATTGTATTTATAGCGAACCTATTTCCGTCCGATTATACGGCATTGAGATCCGGGTATGTTGATGTTTTGGTGAATCAATCGAGTATGGAATTGGCCTCCATCTCCCGAACATTATTTATAAACGTAGCATACCATCTATAAAGTTCCCTATTGCTGCGGTTATTGATAGTTCTATCCGTAAATAGAGGCGAGTGCAGTGCGTATAATGCGCAAAGCCCCGAAGAGATCTGTAGGCGATATTGAGCGGGTAAGAATATCAAATCCCTTTGACCGCTATGACTGTGCATGTTTACTTACTTACATAGTAGAGGAGGCCCACGCGAGTCCTTACCGATTTCTGTATCAAGCTAAGACTACCCGACTGAGAGCTAACAACGTATTTCCTGCTTATAACTTGCGCCAAAGCCAATTAGGTAAAGCCCAGCTGGGTCTGATAGCCGGATCTAACGTTTAACTCAGAAATTGACCCACGAGGTTATTTTAGCTTGCTACAGTATGAAGGAATGAAAGACAAGCAGAAAGACAAGTTAAAAGCTTAATAGCATAGCTTATCGCACCGTTGGCTAATGTTGGCTAATATGAAATGGTAATGCTTATTAGCCTAGTCGAGTACTAACCTAACGCGTCGATGTCCGTATTGGTTGGTATTAGTATCAGCATCTATGCGTTGCTATTACACGTTTATGTAGAATTGGAGAAAAACGATACCTTTCCCTCGTAAAAGATGTAAAATACTCTCGGTCTTCTTGGTGATATCATGCCACGGCGAGTGACGAGAGCCTCACTTACACTACAAGGTAACCAACCACATGATGTCAACGACACCGAGAACTATTATCGGAATCGCGCGAACGGCAGATTTTTTTTTTAATTTGGCCCACGCAACCCACGCACCCTTGGTAGCGTTACAGCAGCTCGCGCTTAGAGTCCCATTCGTCAATTGATGGGGAAGGAGGAAAAAAAATATTTCAGTGGAGCTATAGTTATACGATACGCCACTGATAGGGCAAATTATTCTTTGAGCCGAATTTCCATGTCTACACTACGTCGCACTGGTCGCGACGAATGGATCCGACTGGATCATGAGACATTTTCGGCAAGGCCGTAGTATTTCAAGTAGGTAGTTAATCTATGTAAACTGTACTAGTTATCACTTCGAAAACTTTTTCTAGAAGACCATGTCTCTTTTAATAAAGTCGACGGTAACCGTCCCAAAAAGCTTACCTTTTATATGAATTCCCCTCACCCCGGACACACACACACACACCACCACGCTCCCCTTTTCACTTCTCATCTCCCCCAAGTAACTAATTACATAACACGGTCCTTCTAGTGCCCGTGCCTCCCCCCGTCACGCTCGTGCGTCTTTGTCGTCGAGCCGATCTAGCTGTCGAGATGGACCTAGCCATCAGCGAGGGAGAAAAGAGCCCGAAGGAGAATTCTCTGACTAGCAATGGTGGTCAGAAGGATGTTGAGGCTGGTGACGACCAGCTACATCGGGGCCTTCGCAGCTACCATCTCCAGTTTATCGCCATCGGAGGAACCGTCGGAACTGGCCTGTTCTTAGGAAGCGGGGAGGCGTTGGCGACAGCCGGTCCTGTTGGCTGTCTCATCGCCTTCCTCTTCGTCGGCTCAATCGTGTTCTCCATCATGACGAGTCTGGGTGAAATGGCTTCATTCATTCCGGTTGCTGGCAGTTTTACCGTGTACGCTTCTCGATTCGTCGACCGCTCTCTTGGTTTCGCGATGGGCTGGATTTATTGGTTCAGCTGGTCCATAACGTTCGCTCTCGAACTCGTAGCAGCCGGCGTTATTATCCAGTATTGGGACTCGACGCTTAGCATCGGAATATTTATCGCTATTTTTTGGGTCATCTTCACAGGCGCCAACTTCTTGCCAATTCGTTATTTTGGAGCCTTCGAAATGTGGTTCTCTAGCATCAAGGTCGTCACCATCGTCGGTTTCATCATATTCGCCATTTGTATCGATGCTGGTGCGGGGAAGAATGGATATCTCGGGTTCGACGCCTGGGTACACCCTGGCCCTTTCGCCGAATATATTTTTACTGGAAACATCGGCAAGTTTGTTGGATTCTGGTCGGTACTCGTTACCGCCGGATTCAGCTACCAGGGGGCAGAACTTGTCGGCATCGGCGCAGGAGAGACTCATGACCCAGCAAAGAATGTCCCAAAGGCTATCCGGTGGACATTCTGGGGAATTCTATCTCTTTTCGTTTCAACCATCTTCTTTGTCGGCTTACTCGTGCCTTATGATACGGGAGCTCTTCTAATCGGCACTACGGATGCCTCAGCGTCGCCACTTGTTATCGCAGCTAACCTCGCTGGAGTTTCTGTTCTTCCTCACATCATCAACGCCGTCCTATTAACCGCCGTACTCTCTGCTGCTAATTCAAACGTTTACTCTGGGAGTCGTATTTTAGTCGGTCTAGCCTTGGAGAATAATGCCCCTGCATTCTTGTCCCGTACAAATCAGCATGGAACTCCCTATTTCGCGGTCGGTGTCACTTCGGCAATCGGGCTCCTCGCCTTTATGAATCTATCGGCGAACGGCGGCGACGTCTTCGATTGGCTGCTAAATATCACTGCCATAGCTGGCTTCATCACCTGGTCTTGTATCAGCGTCTGCCACTTACGATTCATGAAAGCCTTAAAGGCTAAGGGAATCTCCAGAAAAGATCTCCCATACGCGGCGCCGTTCCAACCATACTTAACTTGGTTTGGTCTCTTCTTCTGCGTGTTGATTCTATTGACCAACGGATTTACTGTTTTCATCGAGTGGAAAACCAGCGATTTCTTCGCCGCATATATTAGCCTCATATTGTTTGTTGTGCTCTTTGTAGGGCACAAACTCATATGCTGGACAAAACCCGTCAAACTAGCAGATGTGGACCTTGACCGTGACAGAGTCCAGCAATAATCTCTATTGCATATGTAAATATTTTATAGCAATACCTACCGTTTATGATACCCTTAATATCAAATATTATAGTATATCTTGCTGTTGTCATTAGAAACCTTACTAGAGAAGTCATAATAATTACCTAAAAGAGCACTATCAAAGCAAGTAGCTCTCCCCTTTATATTCACACCGCTGTGAATAGTTACCAAGGATGAATAGGTATCCACCGTCCTATAGTCGTCGACTATAGCACGTACTTTTTAACAATCATCAAGTATATCATAAGCTACTCTATAGACGCCGACTATAACATGCCGTTTTCTATAGTCGTCGAGTATACGCCGCCCCACCTTATAATCGGCGTCTACGCCATGTTGTTTTTTAAGCTGTCGACTATAAGATGTACCTCTCTATAGTCGCCGATTATAGCATGTACCCGCCTAACAGCACTTGCCCATCAAACAGTGTCTACCCCACGTTCACTCGCCTTACATTCACTCACCCTGCGTGTACTCGCCTTACATGAAGCTATCTTGTGCACTTGCCTTACATCAACTCCCCCTTAGGTTTCGATTGTAACCTGTACTCGCCCTGTCAACCAGCTTGACCCGCATAAAGTACGAAAATTTTGTATGTACTTGCCTAAGAGGTTCTCTTGACCCTCTAGCATTGGCCACGATGTGCAATCTAACCAGGTAGCTACCGCAGTAATTCTTTTTCCCACCTGCCAGTCTTTCCTCATTCCTCAGGAACACAACTCTCGAAATCTCTATATAATTCCCCCCCAAAACCCAGGTTTTTACCATTCCAATACTTTCTTTCACAAGAGGCTTTAGTCACTGCACTCGAGTTTCTCGAAACCTGCAACCACTTTAGTCAATTCTTTCTTCTCTCGAGATAATTTAAACCAACCTGACAGTTAAGCAACCCTAACCTTGGGGGTCGAACCAGTTAAATTACTTTTCGAGTTTCGAAGGTCAGTATTCCCCCAAGACTCTTCTTAAGCTCTGTCTTTTACCTCTTCTACATGTTTCCCTTTCACATTCCTGCCACCATTTCCCCTCTCTAGGTAACCCAAATCATGAAAATGCGTTGAAGAAATCCGACTGTATTGAAAAGAAATCATCCTTTCCATACTGGCCGATGCCCCTACTTATTATCCTACACAACATATATGGCCTTACAGCATTCATTATTGCACCTTTCAAGACCCTTCAAACCATCATCACCCCAGATTCTAATTCTCGCCTAGTGATCCAAGTCAAAGCTCTGACTGCTTACCCTCCAACCATGGCTACAAACGCCGAATCATCAGCCATGGCCGTCGCCAAAGGCGGCTCAGACACAGCCGACGTTGTCATTTGGGGTATTGTCTATAATGATGATTACAAGAAAAATGTGAAAGAGAAAACTGTCAATCAGTTTTACGAAGAGAGCTTGCGCCCAAAGGGCAAGTCCGCGACCAAGTCTAGTAAGGCTAAAGTGAACAACGATGACATCGATAGCGGGAACAACAATAGTACTGGAAATACTCTAGATCTACGACCCGGAGAAGTGATGGGTGAGAACATCTTAGCCCCAGAAGGCAAATTTCTGAAGGCAATCGTATTAGAAGACGGTAGACGACAAGATATCCCCGAGACAAAATCATACCGCCCTGTTTACGGACCTAGCGAGCCCAAAACCGCACCGGCGAGGTACACTCCTCGTACCAGCATGCAGGACATTCATTGGGCGATGATCGCCACGGACGGAAAGTCGTATCACAAAGCTAACGAGCGAGACGGCGTCAACCCCCAAAAGATGGGCCCTGCTAAAGGAAGTCCCTTTACGCTCTGTGATGTCGAAAAGGACATCTTCATCATAGACAGATACGCTTTGGCATGTGTCGAGCGTCCCGATGGCGTCAACGGAAACCACAAGGCTGATATTTTTGGGACGACTGCTACCAAGCAAGCTCGTCAGCGGATTGACGATTGGCTTCTACGGCCAAAGAATGTTCTCTTCAACGTCAATGACCCGGGTAGTCTTCTGATCTACTTGGATCTCCTTGAGAGAGCGTCGAAGTACGGAAAGGACGGGAGCAAAGATCTTCTCAATCAGAAGAGAACAGTTGGTTTCTTCTCGGGCCCCAAGCAGTGCAACCACGATGATTGCAACAAGTGGCGCAACGAGCAGGCGACGAAGATGCGCACCCCCGCCCAGAAGAACATCTTGAAGCAACCTTGGTGGGTCTTTGCCGACTTCTGTCCGATGGGCACGAATGCGATCTCTTTTAAGACTTCGCAACACTCTGAGGACATCATTTCAATCGAGAACATCCGCAATGAAGATGCCAATCGCACTCGCGCCTTCTGCCACGCAGTGCTAAACCATTCTCCCTTCAAGGAGGGCTATGCAATTCTTCACCAGGACAATATGTTCCCGCTCTTGGTTCACGCTAGTGGTCAGTGTTTGACTCCCAATGACACCGGAAGGGACAAACTAGATGAAATTGTTAGCCAAGTTAGGGATGGCCGCGCGTGTTATGGTTGTGCTGAGAAGCGCGACACAAACAAGATCTTCGGTATGAATGATCTTCTTAAAGATCAAGCTACGGGGTTGATCTATCTCAACTACGAGGTAGATGAGGACACCACAATGATGGATGCGTAATCATACGAATGTCGCACGCGAAGAGAGACAAGTCGGTCTCGACTCCTCATCGATTCTACCGTTGCTTTCGCTGTACCTACACTTTTCCTTCCTTTCCATCGCAACACCTCCTATACGTCACATAATAGGAGACCATCCATCCAAGCAACAAAAGACGCAAGTCTATTGATTCTATAGAGCCGATGGCAGTTTATTGCAGATACTCGTTGAGACTCGAGCAGGATCGGGACCAAATGTTTCTTTCTGGCCCACGGAGCCAGGAGACAGAGCATTAGATGAGAAACATGTAGCTAGCTATGCAGTCAATTCTGAGTTTTTCCTTATAATATTCCCCCATTCTCATAGTTAAGTGCTTAATGAAGGCCGCACGCGGACCATCTCTGAATGTTCATTGGTTGGAGTGCCGGCTTTGATACGGAGGTCACTGTTGATACCCCGGCCGGTCACCGGCCCCACTTAGCCCGCTAGGTAGTCAAGGTCCGCCGCTAGAGATGCTCTTGCACAGCGCCTGAAAAGGTAACCATGTAGATCCCATGATTCAGGCAATTACTGCCTGCATTCTATGCATATATAAATATAGCTAAATCCTAATCCTATAATCTTAAATAGTTAACTTAACAACGATGTTACCACTATTTTAGGAATCATATAAAATCGATTTTATGTAGCAGAACGCTACCTAGAAAGAATAGCGAAAGCAAGCCGTTTACCATTATGTAAAACGCACCACCAGCCCTTTGATTAGGCAAATCGTCGTTATACACATTATGTAAAACGCACCACCAGCCTTTTTATTAAACAAATCGTCGCTACACATCCTGTAGAAACGTACTAGACATTAGGCAATAAAATAAACCCGTACCAAGCACCAGCCCTGCCCTTTTGCCAGTTTATTTAAAACAATAATAGACCCTTGCTACCTTCGCCAGTCTATTCAAAACAATAATAAACCCCTACTACCTTGCCAGTCTATTTAAACGGCATTTACGATGCCACACACAACCTTACTAGTTAAATCGATATTGCCAAACGAAACTTTATCAGTTAAATCGTTGCCAACCAAAACCTCGCCAGTTAAACCAACATCGCCAGCCAAAATATCGTCAACCAAACCCATACCTATCGAGTCTCGCACCAAGTGCAACAAGTGCAATAAACAGTTCCGATCACGTAATAAGCTTATGAAATACGTCCGCACCCAAACGTGCCGTGAATTATCTCAACCTAAATTACCTTAACCTAAATTACCTCAACCGACCGACCAATCCACAAACATCAAAACGTTGCAGGCCGAGATTGTGACCTTACGAAACGATTTGAAAGTACTTCGGAAAAAGTTTAAAAAATACAAAAAGCCAAAAACACAATACGGATCGAGATAAGGATACGGGGGAGGCTACTTGTTGGAACCAAGACCTAAAGAATCGTACAATCTAGGTACGGGCCGAAACACTATACCATGGTATTAATGATGATTATTATGGTAATAAATAATTATAGTGATGATTAGAGAGTTGAGAACAACTCTAAAGAAAAAAAAGAGTAATGTAAATCCTATGATTTAGGCAATTGCTGCCTGCATTTTATGCATATATAAATATAGCTAGATCCTAATCCTATAATCCTAAATAGTCAATTTAACAACGATGTTACCACTATTCTAGGAATCACAACCACGAGTACGGAAAGCTTATGGAATCGAGGTAGCTACTAAAATAAAATACCTAGATGACCCTTACTATACAATCGTCTGTTTAAGAAGATAACCTGAAACTAAACACGTAGGGTAGGATCACCATATCACTAATGATCCATACGAAGTACTAGGCTTAAGAAACATGTAGAGATGAGTCTTGGCACATTAGAAGTATGCCAATTCATATTATTATTCTCTTGCTGCAGGACAAGGCCAAAGTTACCTCCTAATGTAGTAGAGGACGCAATCTAATTCGTCCTTAAAAGTAGCACACATCACAAGTATTAAGAATAAAGTCAACAGACGCGCGGAAAACAATTCGTTTCTGCTAGGAACTAGCTCTAGAGAAGTAGGTAACGGGAGTCCCGGCCGTCGCAATCGTGGCAAGTGAATCTATAACGCATCTCCTGAGCCATGAATATCAATGCAAATGTGTATTCCGCAACCACTCATTATGGGCTGTGTTCCTTTCCTGCGTCATGATCTACTATGAATCTTCAATAAACTCGATCATGACTGTGCCCTGTTTCAAACCAGCCTCTTCGATAGTCTTTTCTAACTCCTCGATGAGATCTCTACCCGCCGGCATTGCTTTGAGCTCGAATTGGATATTCTCCTTGCCCTCGAGAGGCTCGGCCTTCAACCACTCATAGATACGGCGAACGGGGTCTGTGATGGAGAATCTTCGAATAATGCGACCGCCGGCATGGCGAAATTGTATTCTGGTCGTAGTTGCCGGATTATTCTCGGGTTCCACGTGAGGATTGGTTGATGATATTTGGGCAAATGCCGACTCTGATGCATTAGAGGGTTGATTAAAGTCATCAGCTAAGTCATTAGACTCATCAACCTCTTTACCCTTGCCTTTTCCAATATCTGGGTTCGACTTAGTAAGGGCGTCAGGATCCTGAACGCTAGGCCCCGATGATCCGCCGTCTTCGTCAAGACTGTTTTGTAAAGCCATTCTAAGCATCTCCTCTTCCGACATTCGGCTAATATCGACGGGCTTCGTCTTCGGTTTTGACTTAACCACTGGATTCTTGCTGTTGGCCGCTAAGCTGTATCGGTCGAGAAACTCGACGAGGTCTGAATGAAACTCCGTCATGGAGGGAAACGATTCTCCTGACCAAACTTTGACCTGCTCTCCGGTACGGGGATCGATAATAGAAACATGCGGATAGTTATTTTCGTCCTCGTGAGCTTGATTGTTGAAGTAGAATGTGGTGTATGATTGGGCCACCGGGTCATCTAAGGTGTATTGTAAGAAGATAAAATGCTCGCGAATCAAAGACACAATGTCTTCGTTCTTCCAGTGATCTCTGTTAAGAACCTGGCATCGAAAATCATCCATCTTCTGAAGATTAACAAGTATCCACTTCTTCTCTTCTTTTCCGAGGTCTCTTGCGGCATCTAATGGTAGGCGGGTAATCAAGCCTGTCGGAGGTGCGAATAGATCTCTTAATCTTCGCGATGTATTACTAGAAGTAGGTGGCGTATTTCGCGGTCGAACGCCGTCTTCCCGGTCGAACCAGTCAACCGAGGATTGATTGAAGGGGTTGGCGCCAGTACCTATGATGAAAGTTAGGAAAGCCAGCGGGAGGAGAGGCGTACTTTGAAAAAGAAAATAAAAGGCTCACCTTGTACTCTCCGTCGGCGTAGTTGTTCCATGACGGCGGCTTCTCGGTCGTCGTCTAAGCCCCAAGAGGGATCGGGTGCTGCGAGAGTCTCGGTCGTTTGCGCTATAGGGGCTCTTACTCCATCCAGTGATCCATGATTTTCCGAGTACATTTCCTCCTGTAGCCGTCTCGCCATCTCGGCATCTTCTTCCTCTTGCGCGCTTCTTACTAATGCCGTGACATCATCCGCATCATCAGGCACATCAAATTCATTATTTGCCATGTGCACATCGTCATCATCGTCGGAATCTATGTGGATTACCCCGCGGGAATCTTCGCGACCGGTAAAAGCTTGGCTTCGACTTGCAGACGACGATGTAGCTTGTCTTGCTGGAGTAGAAGTTGAAGCGGCAGGCTGGTTGAAGCTGGCTTGCAACTCGGGGTTTTCGTAGAAGAGTTGAATAGCTTGCATAGGATCACCGCCTGAGATTTCAAGATAGCCGCGGGCTACATGATCGGCTGAGATGCCAGTTATGGCCATAAATTGAACCACATCCTCATCCATCTTCTAAAACTTGTATAGCTACCTAGATAGGTATAGATAAATAGTGAACGTGTTGGATATTATCTTAAGCGCGAGGCTAAGTATTCGACAGGGTTGGGCGGGTCTGGATCGTATCGTCGAGGAACTTCTAAGATGAAGAAGTGTGGTTTGGTTAAGTTAGGTAGGTAATCGTAGGCACTCGTAGCTGAAGATGAATAAAAGTTAGCGACGACTCTAAGTTCACAATGGACTAGTTAGGCTTTAAATACTCTGATGGGATTTTGCCTGTAACAATAACATGAACAATCCACACTATTCGAAAAAAGTATGAGGGAGCGATGACCACCAAGGCAAACGAAAATAAGATGAGATTGTTTGCATGAGAATGATGCCGTAGCAGATGACTGTGCTGTAGTAGTAATGGACTAATGGTTTAAAGGCGGCACTTATTGTGACGCAACAACTATCTTGTGGGGCCGACCACCGATGGGAAGTAGGTAGATAGGCAGATAGGGCAGATAGGGCAGATAAGTTATATAAAATAATGGGGCCGCTGTTATCCTTTCCCGACCTTTCTCCGTTTAATGCTGACCTTATGTACCAAGGTACCTAATGTACTCCCCTGGGTACTTAGGTACTTAGTAGCTACTCCCTGACGTAACACTCAAAAAGGGGATCCGAAGTCCTACGTATTACTGATTTTTTTGATAGAAATACTGTCTCATTTTATTGAGTAAAGAAAGGCCAAAGGCTACTCACTAAAGCGTCTGTATTCATATTTGTCACATAATCAGTTTACTTCTTAAGAATAGATTCAACGAAAAAGTCTATTGGGTAAGTTCATTGCTTGCTATCGCTACGTTTTCCACTCCGGCTCCCTGCACGGCAACTCTCTTAGACAGCAAGCTGCTGAGAAACTTGCTCTAGTAGCTTCTGTACATCTATGGACCTTTCTGTTTCTATCATAGCTCTCAACTTCTGTTCAATTTCATCAATTAACGGTCCCTGTTCGCCAACTGCGCCAAAGATGCCTTTCTTTAACGCTTTCACGAAAGCCCCGAGCGCTTTTGCCCGGCTTGAGCGTTGATTTTCAAGGATGACATCGCTCTCATCTGCCGCCAGCAGCCTGAACCATCGAGTAGCC